CCCAACAAAAATAAAAACCCCAAGATGTAGTGAATCAGAAACTCATTTGCTTCTGATAGGTTTCAAATTGGGATGACAAAATATTTCAGCCACTGTGTTGAGGAAGAGGATGGCCTTAGGAGGCATCGGATGCAAGGGGTGTGGCCTGGGCATTGGAGCATGGCCAATGAGCTTTTAAAATTCTAATGATATTTCAATAAAAAACAAATTTCCTCCCCCCCCCACCCCCACTCTCCTTTTCGGTTCTTAAGTGTCATTCTCTTCCAGTGACTAGAAAAAGTTTGCTTACACCAGGACTCCTTGAATTACGACCAAAGTAGGGATCAGAATTTCCATTGTCAAAGAAGGAGGTTGTTAAGTGAGGAACGCTCAATTTTATAGCAGTAGCACTTAGATTTATATACCGCTTTACAACCCCCTCTAAGCGGTTTACAGAGTCAGCATTATTGCTCCCCCCCCCAACAATCTGGGTCCTCATTTGACCCACCTCGGAAGGCCGGAAGGCTGAGTCAACCTTGAGCCTGGTGAGATTTGAACTGCCAAATTGCAGGCAGCTGGCAGTCAGCAGGAATACCACGCTCTAACCCCACTCCTCAATATGGCCCCCTCAAGTGGAGTCAGAACAAGGTTGGTGCATGTTCACATGTGCTCTTCTCCTCTCCAAGCGTCCCTTGGTTGGAAGCTAGCAAGAGAAGAGATATCCAGAGGTGGTGAAGCTGGAGACCTTCGGGTGGATGTGGTCTCACGAGTCATCCCCACTGAATGAAGCTCTCTGCCCATCCATGGAGCCACAAAGACTGACAGGTGAGTCAGTCATCTGGGATGAGCAGGCATCTTGACCTGGTGGATTTGAGTGGGTAAAAGGGGACCCAACAGGCCAAAGTCCAGGTGGACTTTGGGCATCTCAGCCACGAGAAGCAGAGATGTTCTTTGGAGACCGTGTTCAATGTACCAATAGAAGAGACTTATGTGTCGCTCAGGATTGGAACGAGGGGTCCTTGATGCTCTCTGAGCATTTTCTTGCAGATGTTTCATTAACCAAAAACTAGGTGTCTTGCCCCCATCGGAGCCTGAATTTGTGGAAGAAGATGAGCCGGAACTGGAGTCAACAGAGATTGGTGAGGGGGGCTTCGTAGGTTTCGGAAGAATGTGTGGAGGAACATGCTGAACATGCCAGGGCCTTTCAGGATTGGGACGGCTTGTAGGCAGGGAGGAACAGGGGCAGGATGACCAGGAGAAGCTAAGCCTGAAAGACAGAGCTCAGGCGATGAGCAACGATCACCCCCTCTTGATCCTCGAGCAAGGAGAGTGGAGAGAAGGCGAGAACAGCACAGACTGACCCAACTGCTTGGGAGGAGAGCGCCCTGCCCCTCTTCACAAGGCACACCTGGGGACTGAAACTTAAGGAGACGCTGTGGGGAGGGGCATTTGTCGGGAACAAACGCTGAATTCCTGGAGTGTTGAGTGCTGTTGCTGACATTTGAACTTTCCTAGATTTCCTGCTTTCTTCTTGTCTTCTTGGATTAATTGTCTTGCTCTTTTGCTTCCTGGACTCATTGATTTGCCCCTCTTAAATCTTGGAGGCCACTTGAAACATCCTCGAAAATCTGTGGAAAAAACCTTTTCAGTGAGAAGCTTCAAATAACCCAAAACCTGGTTGGTTGAGCAAGCTATAAACCCAATTCACACGGTGCAAAGCCGTGGTTTGTTCAGCTGTGGTTTACGTTAACTAACCGTAATGGTTGGTTCACCGAACCAAAAAAACCCAAACCAATTATTTTTAATCTCTTCGTCCGAGGTGGTGAGCCAGTCTACACCAATGACACTGATAGCCTCATGCTCAGCACGGGCACAGGAGGAAAAATTCTTTGGTGCACCACTGGGTGGTGTGATTTCCTTTCTATACAAGCAAAGATTTACAGTGGTACTTTGGTACCCATCGTTGATTGGTTCCAGGAGGCACAAGGAGTACCAAAAATATCAAATAAAAGGAATAATGTAATGCATGGACGTCAAGCTTGAGTTCATTAAGGGCCGCATCAGGGTTGTGTTTGACCTCAGAGGGGGGGCAGGGGAGCGTGGCAGGGATGGGCATGGCCAGCTTGATATCCTGCAGCCCTCTGCCAGTGAAAAGGGAGCCCGGGAGGGCCACACAACGGCCCTCCTGAGCTCCATTTTTGCTGGCAGAGGCACCGAGGACCAGTCCTTCGCTGTTTCCAGGACAGCCCCACCGGCTGGATCTAAGCACCTCGCGGGCCAGATCTGGCTCACAGGCCTTGAGTTTGACACCCAGAGGTGGAATTCAGCCGGTTTGGACCGATTCGCTCGAACCGGTAGTGGAATTTATTTTTTATTTTTTATTTCCAATTTATATACCGCCCTTCTCCCTGAGGACTCAGGGCGGTGCACAGCCAAAATTAAAAACATGAAATACAAATATTAAAAATAATTAAAATCTATATAAATTTGGCCCAAAAATTTAAAAAACCACAAACCAATTAAACATTTAAAAAATTTCTTCCTAAGCCAGCCCGGCTTGCTGGAAAAAGTGGGTTTTAAGGGCACGGCGGAAGGCACTGAGGTCTTGGATTCTCCTTATCTCTGGGGGCAGCTGATTCCAGAGGGTAGGTGCCCCCACAGAGAAGGCCCTCCCCCTGGGGGTCACCAGCCTGCATTGTTTTGTGGATTGTGTAAATTGTGGGTGGACCTGCCCCCCCCACCCCGGCTCTATGTTGTCCTATTTAGGCACATTTTTGAGGCCGGGAGCATGCGCGGAAGGTGTTTTTCCATAAAGGACCCACAACACGCATCTCTACACGGACGGGGGGCGGGGGACCAGCACCGTCTTGCCCCTTCACTTCAGCCCCCAAAACATCTCAACGCATCCTGGATTGGTTGAGCAATCTGCAACAACACGCAGGTACGCCTCGATTTATGACCACAATTGAGCCCAACATTTTCATGGCTAAGCGAGACGATTGTTAAGTGGGTTTCTCCCCTTGTTTTACAACTTTTCCGCCCACAGTTATTCAGTGAATTGCTGCCATTGTTAAATTAGTAACGTGGTTGTTAAGTGAATCTGGTTTCCCCATTGACTTTGCTTGCCAAAGGGGATCATGTGACCCTGACACACTGCGACCGTCATAAATACGAGTCAGTTGCTGAGCTTCTGAATTTTGATCATGTGACCACGGGGGGGGGGCTTCAATGGTTGTGTGAAAAATGGTCGTCGGTCACTTTTTTCGGTGCTGTGGTATCTTTCAACGGTCACTAAACGAATGGCTGTAACTCGAGTTACAACCAGTCCTCGCACTTACAAGTGTCTCAGCATTTCCATGCTCATATGAGAAAAATCTGGGGGCTTGGCAACCCGCGTGTACAGGTAGCCCTTGACCTATGACTACAATTGAGCCCAACATTTCTGTTGTTAAGTGAGTTTGGCCTCATTTTACGACTTCTTTTTTTTTTTTTAATTTGATTTATATGCCGCCCTTCTCCGGAGACTCAGGGTGGCTTACAATGCGCTAAGCAATAGCCTTCATCCTTTTGTATATTTATACAAAGTCAGCTTATTGCCCCCCACAAACTGGGTCCTCAATTTACCTACCTTAGAAAGGATGGAAGGCTGAGTCAACCTTGAGCCTTGGCGAGATTCGATTTGCCACAGTTCAGTGAAGCGCTACTGTTGTTAAGTGAATAGCATGGTTGTTAAGTGAATCTGGCTTTCCCATTGACTTTGCTTGTCAGAAGGTCGCAAAAGGGGATCACGTGACCCCCAGGACACTGCAACAGTCATAAATAGGAGTCAGTTGCCAAGTCTCCAAATTTTGATCATGTGACCCATAGAGACGCTGCAAGGGTTGTAAGCAGGGGTGGGCTTCATACATTTTAGCAAGGGGTTCACTGCCTGGTTGCTGGGTGGATGTGGCCATGGTGGGCGTGGTCTAGTTGGCCTCCTGCACCATGGCGGTGGGGGGCTTTTTGCCCTCCCCAGGCTCCGGAGGCTTATTTTGAGCCTCCGGGAGGGCGAAAATGACCTCCCCAGGCTCCGGAGGCCCTCTGGAGGCTGGAATTCTCGAACTTCCGGTGGGCCCATTTTTCACCCTCCCTGAGCTTCCGCGCGCGTTCTGCAATTATCTGCATCCAAAAATGGGCTGTGTGGGGACTCCTGGGAGGTGGGGGAGGAGGGGCAGCCAGGAGGTGGATTTGGGGGTTCTCCGAACTGCACAGAATCTTAGCTAGAGGTTCTCCCGAACCCCTGCGAACCCCCAGCAGCCCACCCCTTGGTTGTAAGTGTAAAAACTTGTGTGAAGTTGTAACTTCAAATGGTCACTATACGAGTGGTTATAAGTTGAGGGCACCATGTACCCCAAATTCTACCATCTGGTGTCTTCCACTTCTATAAAAAGTAGTGATAATATCTCTTAAGTACATACACACGGGTGGGTTCTAAATTTTTTTACTACCAGTTCTGTGGGCGTGGCTTATTTTATGGGCGTGGCTTGATGGTCATGTGACAATTCTTTAGGATTTAGCAGAGGTACTGGTCTACCAGGCTTTTAACTGCTTGCAGAGCTGTACCAATCTACCCATTTATTTTTTACAGGCACTGATCTACTCATGTCTTTTTGCAGGCACTGGTCTACTCATTTGTTTTCTTTTAACACTGATCAGCTGTACGGCGGCCCTTTGAAGCCCCGCGGCAAGAGTTTAAACAGTTTTTTTCCCTCTAGCCGATCAGCTGGGACTCGGGAGGCAGCAAATAGATTGGGGGCGGAGCCAAATAAAAGGTAAGAATAATGCAGGGGGGGAAGGGGGGGAAGGGGGGGCGGGAGGGCCCAGCTCCCGAACAAAGAGAACCGGTCCGGTGACGTCATATCGTCACCGCTACCGGCTCGGCTGAACCGGGCTGAACCGGGAGGAACCCACCACTGCATACACAGGATCACCTCCCAATTTAAAAACTGAGAATTCTTCCAAGAAAACACAACTTCTGCAGCCTAGGTGAATTATTGTTTATTATGTAACTGATAGATAGCCCGGGTTCTCTCAATACTCCAAATGAAAGAGGGGGATGTCTCCCCTTTCCCCCCCCCTCCCCACAACAACAACCTTGTGAGGTAGGTTTGAGTTGAGTCCTTCCCCCAGTCCCGATCCACAACACTCGATCAATTGTGGATTAGTATTTTTTGTTCAGCAGCTTTTGTCGTTTTGCGATGTGTATTTTTTTCCTGGCTCGTAAAATATCAAAAATATAATCAATAATATGTTTTTTTTTAAAACCTTGGGACAATCCTGTCGGTTCATAAATATAATACTTAATCTGAGAGCAGCATGTACAGGTAATCCTTGATTTATGACCATCGTTGGGAGTAGAATTTCCATTATTAAGCCCAGCAATTTTTTAAGTGAGTCACGCTCAATTTTGTATTTTTTTCCTGCTACTATTATTAAGCGAATTACTTAAGTGAACTAATTAAGTGAATCATGTGGAGATGAAGGGAATCCAGCTTTCTCCGTTGATTTGTTGAAAGCTGGAAAGGATGCAAACGGCCATCACAAGACACCAGAATGATGCAACAGTCATAAATATGTGCCAATTGCCAACCGCCTGAATTTTGATCACATGACGATGGAGATGCCACAATCATAAATGAAGACAGGGTTGTAAATTACTTTTTCAGGGTGGTTGTAACTTCAAATGGTGTTTGAATGGTAGCAAATGTAGGACTATCTATAGTCCTATAGGTGGGCAACTATGGCCCCTTTTATGCCCCCAAGGTGCTTTTCCAAAAGGCAACTGGATTTTTGTGGGGTTTTTTCCTTTGAAAACTTTTCGTTTCTCATCCAAGAAGCTCTTAAAGTTCAGTTCTTAAGGTAGAACTGAAGGAAGCTTCTCGGATGAGAAGTGAAACCTTTTCAAAGAAAAAAAAAACAAGAAAGTCCATTTGCCCTTTTGGAAAAGGCACCTTTGGGACAACCATGATCTGGATGATTGAAAAATCTCCATAGTTATTTACCAACCTATGGACTTCTACTCCCAGAAATCCTGGGCCAGGTGGCTCAGGAATTCTGGGAGTTGAAGTCCACAGATGGTAAAGAGTCCATATGTGCTGCTCTTGATCTATACAGCTTTCTGTCTTTCTTGCTCCCATCTTCCCAGCTAGGTTGTTTTCACCCCAGCATCCAAGTCGTCTAAGCCCTCTTCTCTGAATTTGTTCCAGCTTTTCTGTAGGTCTCTAGAGTCGCCAGAGCCTGCAACTGTCCCATCTTATATCTTATGGAATGATCTAAATTCACAGTATATTTCAGCAATTTCTTCCCTTCTTGAACGGTGAAGGGGAAATCGCCGGACAAGAATTTCTCAAAAAGTTCAGGGTCTCCATCCAAGGCCATGATGTTCTGGAGTTCCTTGTGCTTGGAGAACAGCTCAGGACACGTCTCCAAAAAGACGTCCCACATCAATTCCTTCTCATAATCGTTGGGTGGTTTGCCCTGCAACTTGTCTTCCATGCGTTGGAGAATCCAACTCAAGCGACAAGGCCACTGGTTGGCCAAAACTATCCAACTGGCCACTGCCCGGGGACAGAGGCTGTGCCTCAACAGGTGCTGTTGCGTCATCAACCTGATCGTAATGGGGATGGTGTTGACAATTCTCCTCATCTGGATAATGCTATCTGGGATATAATGGTAGAGGCAATCTTGTTCATTATGCAAGCAGTGAAAAGCTTCATGGATATATTGCACAGCTATAGTATCGATCTGGTGTTGGTCTTCTTGAACCACCGCTTCTAAGCTCACCAGTGCTTCACTGTTCCCTTTGGACTTGGTCACTCCCAACTCCATGTTCCTTGTGATGACGCCGTACATCAGATCTTCCCGAGTCTGGAAGGCCTCGTGCAAACAACGCATCTTGGACTTGATGCCAATTTCCGGGATGGAGAAAGGAAGCGTCACGGTGCGGTTGAGGTATAGGTAGCCGTTGTCCGCCATTCCCTTCATGGTGCTCGCCTGCTCCAAGCAAGAAGTGATGACGCAGGGGTCAACCACCAGGATGAAGATGAAGGGGGCATTCCTGTCGGAAAGGAGCGTATTGATGGCGTTCAGCACCCCAACCACCCGTTCGGGGTAGCACATATCCAAGCACGTGATCTCAAAGACAATCCTCAATCTCCGACGTTCGAAGATTTCCATGTAGTAGATAAAGCTGGTGAGGACCTCAATCTCGCTCTTCACCGCACTCATGAAACCCAGGTGGCTGGTGAACTTCTCATCGCTGGTCATGCTCTCGATCTTCTTCTTCTGGCTGATGATCAAGTGCTTAATCACGGGACTGATGGCGACGACGAAGCCGGAACCCGAAATGGCAGCCAAGGTGCCACTGAGGTATTTCAAGACTGTGCCGTCCCTTATCTCTGGTACGAGGAGGGCGATAGTACCCAGGCCTGCGCCAGCGAGCAGAATCACAATAAGGCCTCCTGCGGCGCAACATGTTTTCTTTTTAAGCCTCCACTCTTCTTGGGTGAATCCTGAGGCGAATTGCGGACTGCTCCCCACCACGTGGTAGAAACTGAGGGGAAGAGGACCGAAGTGGTGGCGGATATGGTCACACAGGGTGGTGACCAACCCAGCCCATAATTTGTCGCTGCCTGCGTATTCCCAGGCGCTGAATCTTATGAAGAGGAACTCGATGGTTTTCCTTCGGAGGTGCACCTCAGTGATGACCGGTTGGTAGAAGACGATGTACCACAGGAGGGTCAGGTAGTTTATTCCTTCCGGGACTCGGGACCTCTGGTGAGTCCTATTGAATTCGGCTTCCTCCCTTCGGATGGATTCTTTGAGCATGCATCCTGCAAAAGTTCGTTCAGGAATGGTCAACGGAAGATCTGCCAAGCTCTCAAAGACCTTCTATCTAGTGAAGAGAATATTTGTAGCTCAAGTTTCAAATGAGGAGTCCTTGGTGCTCTCTGAGGTTGGTGGTTTTCTTGCAAATGTTTTGTAACCTAATTACGGTAGGCAACATCATCAGATGATGTATCTAGTTGGGTCATGAAACATCTGCAGGAAAAGCACCAAGCTCAGAGATCACCAAAGACTCCACAGCCCTCCTCCCCTCCTCCTTTCTCCTCCTCTTTCTCCTCCTCCTCCTCCTCCTTCTCTTCCTCCTTCTCCTCCTGCTCCACCTTCCTTCTCCTTCTCCTCCTCCTCGTCTTCCTTTTTCCTTCTCCTTCTCCTTCTCCTTCCCTTCTCCTCCTCCTCCTCCTGCTGCGCCACCCTCCTTCTCCTCCTTCTCTTCTTCCTTCTCCTCCTGCTCCACCTTCCTTCTCCTTCTCCTCCTCCTCGTCTTCCTTTTTCCTTCTCCTTCTCCTTCCCTTCTCCTCCCCCTCCTCCTCCTGCTGCGCCACCCCTCCTCCTCCTCCTCCTCCTCCTTCTCTTTTCTCCTTCTCCTCCTTCTCCTCCTGCTCCACCTTCCTTCTCCTCCTCTTCCTCCTCCTTTCTCCTTTCTCCTTCTCCCCCTTCTCCTTCTCCTCCTTCTCCTCCTCCATCTTCTTCTCCTCCAAGTCCTTCTCCTCCTCCTCCTCCTCCTGCTCCACCTCCTTCCTCCTCCTCTTCCTCCTCCTCCTCCTCCTCCCCCTTGTCCTTCTGCTCCTCCTGCTCCACCTCCCTCTTCCTCCTCCTCCGTAAACTCCTCTTCTTTCTAGCACTGATGATGTTACGTAGTGACACCAATGATACAAGTTGTGTGACGGCACTATGACTCCTGTGAGGTCCCTTCTCTTTCCCCAGAGACCCATGGATAGAAGGAGGACTCTTCTACTACGGGATCTCCATAAATGGATTCCCCACTGATTTTCTCATTGTGGGACTGACCTGCGATCTGGTCCAGTAGGGAGTGAATGCGAGTTCCGCAGGGCGAATAGAAACCCACGGTGACCGGGGTGGAGGTATGGCACAACGTTTTCGATAAAGAGCAGCAATAAATGTCATCCTCAGTCAACAGATCTGAGTGGAAAAGAGGCGGGGGAAAGGAATGGAAAATAACCAGAAAGTCCACATATCAGTGTCACTCAGCACAGCACTGAGAAAAGTGACTTATGACCGTTTTTTGCACTTATGACCGTCATAACATCCCCATGGTCATGTGATCAAAATTCAGGCACATATCAAAAGGCATGTCTTTATTAACATTAAAGCATCCCAAGCAGTGGTGAAATCCAATTTTTTTTACTACCGGTTCTGTGAGCATGGCTTGGTGGGCATGGCAGGGGAAGGATACTGCAAAATCCCCATTCCCTCCCCACTCCTGGGGGAAGGATATTGCAAAATCCCCATTCCCTCCCCACTCCAGGGGAAGGATACTCCAAAATCCCCATTCCCTCCCCACTCCTGGGGGAAAATATTGCAAAATCCCCATTCTCACCCCACTTCTGGGGGAAGGATATTGCAAAATCCCCATTCCCACCCCACTCTGGGGCCAGCCACATGTGGCATTTGCCGGTTCTCCAAACTACTCAAAATTTCCGCTACCGGTTCTCCAGAACCTGCTGGATTTCACCCCTGATCCCAGGGTCATGTGATCTTGCTAGTCGGCATCTGACAAAGTCAATGGGGGAAGCCAAGTTCACTTAATGACCACATGATTCACTTAACAACATGGCGCCAAAAAAAAAAAACCTTGTAAAATTGGTCTCATATGCCTTAACAACCACCTTGCTTAGCAACACAGGAATCCTGGTCCCTGGTGTGTAACCTCTTCTTGCCTCAAGCGATGTTTCTCAACGTCAGCAAATTTACGAAGCGTGGACCTCAACTCCCAGAATTCCCCAGCCAGAATTCTTTAAGATGGATGGACTTCCATTCCCAGCATGGCTGGGCTAGGGAATTCTGGGAGTTGAAGTCCACAAGTTGCCAAGACTGAGAAACATTACTAGACCTAAAACATCACTATGGAAAAACCATCCCTGACAGGCCTTTTGTTCCCCAAAGATCTGCCAGGGGGGAAAAAAATCATTTGAGAGTAATTAGGATAATTAGCTTGTGTAACTCATCCTATTGTAAATGCCTCAGAGCAAGAGCTGTGATTTCTTCAGTGTTTTTTCCCCTCAGGTGTGGTTTTTTTTCCCCCTCCCCTTTGTGGAAGGAGCTGAGTGTTTATTTACCATCCTATTTCAGGCTTTAAAATGCCGGGTTTATTTCTGGTGTGTTTTCTGTATGAAAAAAAGGAAATTTTATAAGTGTCCTCAAAGGGGGGGGGTCCTCTGAGCTGGAGAAAACATGCTTTGGAGGTCGAAAGGGGTCCAAAACGTGTTCTGTTTTATCATGACAAGGTCAAAAAAGTCAAGATGGCGGCTGTGAGGAGCAAACCTTGGCCCATTCGTTACGTACTCATAAACAGCAGTAGCTGAATTGGATAGCGACTCCGCTCTATAAAAATTTTTTGGTTAGCTCCCGCTTGTATTCTGAATTTCTTCAGAATATGAAATAATTTGGATTTTATAGTCCTAGGTGGCATTTTCGCATGGGGGAGCAATGTTTGAACCATCTACGCAAGCTGTGCTTTTTGGAACGGTGTCCCCTCACCGTGTGGACTCCCCAAATTTGATCTTTTCTAAATTTCCCCTCCTTGCATGCAGAAATGTAGCTCCGTGAGGAACATCACTTCCTTAGCAGATAATATTCCCTCGGCAAGGAATATTTGTGTAGAGATGGGTGCATCTCAGAAACACCCACACTCGTCCTGCAACCTGAAATTTTATCTCAAGCGTGGATAAATTCGCCCTGTCCAATTTATAAACCTATTTAGGGATTATAGTGGCGATGGTAGGGCAACTTTGAACTCTTGTTTATATTTTGAAATCATCAGTAATGGAAATGTAAAAGGAAGGGAAAGTCCCTAAATCGTTAAAGACTTGACTCAGCGAATATTTTTTTTTTCACCCACTTAAAAAATGTGTCTCATTAAGATTGAATCAGGGTTAATTCAGGACGACATTCACAATTCCTTTGCAAATAAACTTCTGAGCCAGCAGGAATAGAGAGGATCTGATTCTGCACCAAAATAAATACTAGTAGCTTTCAATTTACAACTGTAATAGAGCTTGTAAGTAATGATGGTCATAAAGTCCATCATTACCATGACCAACCTGATTTTACTACCTTTTTTATGGTGCTCGTTAAGCAAAACCTATAAATTTCCTCTCTTCTGCCAGCATTTTCATTTCATTAGATTATTCTGAACTAAGGAACCAAGTCTGTGATGCCTTGAAATCTAAGAAGCTCGTGACTTGAAATTCCCTTCTTACTGAAAATAAATGTTTTTTTAAAAAATGTAACAGATTTATATGAGTGTTGTGGCCCTTCAGCGGCCTGCCCAGCTAGTAGCTGATTCCAACAGTGAGGAGGCTGGTTTGGTGCTGCTCCAGCAGCCTGTGCACCTGGCGCTCGAGTCAGACAATGAGGAGGCTGGAGAAGATGTGGTGCCAGAGTCGGGGATTCAGCCAGGGCCTTCAGAACCTCCAGAAGCTCCCATAAGTGAAGAGGAAGAAGAGGAGGAGCCTCTTCTTGATGCATGGACGCGCAGAGCGTCCAAAAGGCAGGAATGGCTCCTCAGGAGGAGGTCTCCTCGAGAGTAAGGCTTGGGGATAATTGGCCACTCCTTATCCTATTTAAGGAGGAATGCTGATTGAAGCAATTTGCAAGGAACAACTTTGTTCACATACCTTCGTGTACACATAATCATGGCCACCCGGTCACATGACCAGCTAGCCATGCCCACCCAGTCACATGACATCCAAGCCACACCCACAAAATAAGCCACGCCCACAGAACCAGTAGTAAAAAATTTTAGAACCCACCCCTGGTTGGGGGTCACCACAACATGAGGAACTGTATTAAAGGGTCGCGGCATTAGGAAGGTTGAGAACCACTAATCTAGAACGTGCTTGTCCAACTTTTTGGCTTGTCTGGGCTGCATTGAGTGACGAGGAATTATCTTGGGCCACACACAAAATATCAAAAATAGGTAATGTGTACAAATAACAAACTTTGTTTTTAAATATTACTTGGTGTCCAGAGCCACATGTAGGCTGCAAGCCACAGGTTGCACATTCCTAGTTTAGTTATCGCAATGATAAAAAATAAATAATAAAGGGATGCAAAAATCTGCCAAGCGTTATTTACCAATTAGAGAGACAATAACACGGGGCTAATTAATCGGCCCCCAAGTTCATTCATTCTGGAAGAACTATGTCAGGGACCAAAACCTAGCAATTTAAGAGTCACTCAACTAGCAAAGCCAGCAAGGGAAGGACATAATGAAGAACGGAAGAGAAAACATTTAACATATTATGCTAATAAAGAAAATAACTACTGTGTATGTAATCCAGTTTTAAAAGCATACGTTAATTATCTCCCCCACGTACAGGAACTGCTGCAAATGTTAGAACTGTTACTAAACTTTGCTGAAGATTAAAAGCATTCTGATTTCTGAAGGGAAGTTTAGGGAACAACAGTGCTAACATTTGCAACAAGCAAACATGAGTTCGTTTCAAAGGACTGATGAAAAGCATTGCTCAGGCAGTCCGTCTGTTTAGCAAGTATTCAGAGTTACAACAGCGCTGGAAAAAAACTGACTTACAACTGGTCCTCACATTTATGACTATTGCAGCATCCTAGGGTCAAGTGACCAAATTTGAGTGCTTGGCAACTGGCGTGGATTGCAACATCCCGAGGTAATGGTATGGTCATTTCCAGACTGGGTCTCTAGGCGTGCTTTTTTGACAGCCTCTTAAATTAAATTTTAGTGCACAGATAGTCTTGGATTTATGACCTATACTGGGATCCAAATTATTGTTGCTAAGCGAGGCAGTTGTTTAGTGAGTCGCACCTGATTTTATGACATTTTTTTGGCCGCAGGTGTTAACAAATCGCTGCAGTTATTAAATGAATCCCATGGTTGTTAAGTGAATCCGGCTTCCCTCCATTTACTTTGCCTGACGGAAGTTAGCTGAGAAGGTCACAAATAGCCATCACGTGTCAGCAAGACATTGCAACCACTGGATGGATATACCTGATGCCAAGCCCCCCAATTTTGATCAGGTCACAATTGCTATAATAGTTGTAAGTGCGAGGACATGTTACAGTGCCATTGTAACTTCCAATAGTTGCTTCGAACGGTTGTAACTTGAGGATTTGCCTGTATTAAATTTGATATTTTTTTTGGGAAGAAGTGGATTTAAATCCTTGCTACCTTCCATTTGCCTAAATCAGCCTGACTAGGTGGCTCAGTGGCTAAGACACTGAGCTTGTCAATCAGAAAGGAAGTCGGCAGTTCAGCAGTTCGAATCCCTAGTACAGGTCTGCTGTGTGAGCAGGGGGTTGGACTAAATGACCTCCAAGGTCCCTTCCAACTCTGTTACTGTTAGAAATCCAGCTGGTGTGAATTAGATGCTGGGCCTACCTTTATCGTGATACTCGGGGTGGCTAAAATGGGTCTCCCGGTTCGAGCATATACACCCCATTTCGTGGCAATCCTCCGCATGGTGCAGCCTGGCGACTTCCTCGTCATAGTAACTCATCTGCGCTGGAGTTGGTGGGCTATCAACTGAACTTCCCAGGCAGATTGGAGCCTGCCAGAAGGAGATAAAGCAGACAGGTGATTCAACCTGTTTACCTGGGACAGGTAAGTTTCTAATGAGAATGGAGGAACAAAATATGTCTATCGAGCCACATCTGGAATATATGCATTTGCAACAGCAGGGTTTTTCTCTATGACTTTTTTTTTTTAATTTCCAGGCTTCAGGTTACATGAAATGGGTCCATTGAGTGAAAAAAGGAGAGGAAGGAAGGAAGGGAGGGAGGGAGGGAGGGAGGGAGGGAGGGAGGAGAAAGAAAAGAAAGAAAGAAAAGGGAGGGAGACAGAGAGAGAAAGAGAGAGAAAGAGGGAAAGAAGAAGGAAGGAAAAGGAAGAGGAAGGAGAGAAAGAAAGAAAAGAGGGAGACAGGAGAGAAAGACAGGGAGAGAAAGAGAAAGAAAGAAAGGGAAGGAAGGAAGGAAGGAAGGAAAGAGAAAGAAAAAGAGGGAGGCAGAAAGAAAGAAAAAGAAAGAAAGAAAGGGGAAGGAAGGAAGGAAGAAAGGAAGAAAGAAAAAAGAGGGAGACAGAAAGAAAGAAAAGGAAGGAAGGAAGGAAGGAAGGAGAGAAAGAAAGAAAAAGAGGGAGACAGGGAGAGAAAGAGAAAGAAAGAAAGGGAAGGAAGGAAGGAAGAAAGGAAAGAGAAAGAAAAAGAGGGAGGCAGAAAGAAAGAAAGAAAGAAAAAGAAAGAAAGAAAGGGGAAGGAAGGAAGGAAGAAAGAAAGAAAAAAGGGAGACAGAAAGAAAGAAAAGGAAGGAAGGAAGGAAGGAAGGAAGGAAGGAAGGAAGGAAGGAGAGGTGTAATTTTGGTTCTTGAAGCTCCAGATTCCACTGACCTTCACAGCTGGCTCCAAGTTCTCTTTAAGTTGGGGGAAAAAAGGACCAACAAAAATAAAAACCCGAAGGTGTGGCTAATCAGAAACTCCTTTTAAAGCAAGATAGGCATACCAAGGATGCTAATTGAGATGACAAAATATTTCAGCCACTGTATTGCAAAAGAAGATGATTTTAGATGGGATCAGATGCAGGCCGTGTGGCCTGGATATTGAACTGTGGGAAACGGGTTAATTCTGATGATGTTTTATCAAAAAATGAATTTAATTTTTTCCCTCTTTTCTGTTCTTTAGTGGCATTCTTCTCTAGTGACAGAAAAACTTTACTTATAACAGGAGTCTTTGCTTTACGATCAAAATTGGGGCCAGGATTTCCATTTCTAAACAAGTTCAGTTTTATGACTTTTTTAACCACGGTTGTTAACTCTATGCCAAAAACAGCTAATTATCTCTCAGTGGCTTAAATTCTTCTGCAAAATAACCTGTCTTTAAGATGAAGGTGGTTATGAGTGGGTTGGACATTGGCGTAGAATAGCTGAAGATATCATTGGGATGCCTCAGGCTCATTTAAATCCCAGACATTCATATTCACTGATGTTTAAATCCATCTTTGTGAAAATATAATTATTTTCTCTGTGTACAGAAAAGAGTTCCACCATATTTCGGGGACTGAAAGTAAGACCAATTTTGGAGGTTGTAAAACAATCTTTCTCAACCATGGTCATTTTAAGATGTGTGGACTTCAACTCCTAGGAGTAGCTGGGAAATTGTGAGGTCCACACATCTTAAAGCATGCTGGCTGGGGAATTCTGGGAGCTGAATCCACATATCTTAAAGCATGCTGGCTGGAGAATTTTGGGAGTTGAAGTCCACATATCTTAAAGCATTCTGGCTGGGGAATTCTGGGAGCTGAAGTCCACATATCTTAAAGCATTCCTGGCTGGGGAATTCTGGGAGCTGAAGTCCACACATCTTAAAGCACATGGCTGGGGAATTATGGGAGTTCAAGTCCACACGTGTTAAAGTGGTCAAGGTTGAGAAACGGTGATCTAGATTAAGATTATTATGCAAAGAGATTAAGATTTTTAATCCTTGAACTCTACTTTACAAATCCCAGTGGGTGGGTGGGTGTCACCCATTTAGCAAATGCAGGGCATCCATGAACATCAAAGGTCCTTCGCTGAATGTCTGTAGAACACCCGTATTAAAACATTTCCCTTTTCTTTCAAGAAATACATTGGATAAGAAACCGTGCAAGACCTCCGATGGGAATTTTGCTTTCTTGAGCTTTATGTTTGCTCCAAATGCTTCTGCGGTGCCTTGGTGGTGGTGGGGGGGGGGGAAGCATGCTGGCTGGGGAATTCAGGGAGTTGAAATCCACCCATTCTTAACTTGGCCAAGGTTGAGAAACCCTGCCATAGAACATTCCTTCCAATTAGTTAAGGAGATTAAATCGAGAAATGCTACGTTGGTGGCTACCCTTGGTAGCCTTAGGTTGAAGCTGTATCAGTCTGATCCAGAAGTTCTCTACGTCCGCTCGTGTGCTACTCGGAGGAGGAGTTGTAATTGAGGGCTATAAGCAGACCTCGGCAGCTCCTTGTGATGTCAATGGGTGAAGATATAATTGCCAGTTTAAAGTGTCAGGTAAACAAGAACTTCAAGGGATGACCTCGAACCGAGCTCAGTGACTCAGCCTGCAGAGGTGGCGTTGGTTGGAGAAGGCTCACCGTGTGATCCCAACCTAACCGTGATCAAATCTTCCAGGTATTGATTAAGAAGGCATTTCCTGTATTACCTCTTCCTGTAAACCAGTGTTTCTCAACCTTGGAAGCTTGAAGATGGGTGGACTTCAACTCTCAGAATCCCCCAGCCCAGCTGTTTAAGATATGTGGACTTCAGCTCCCAGAATCCCCCAGCCAGCATGCTTTAAGATATGTGGACTTCAGCTCCCAGAATTCTCCAGCCAGCATGCTTTAAGATATGTGGACTTCAGCTCCCAGAATCCCCCAGCCAGCATGCTTTAAGATATGTGGACTTCAGCTCCCAGAATCCCCCAGCCAGCTGCTTTAAGATATGTGGACTTCAGCTCCCAGAATCCCTCAGCCAGCATGCTTTAAGATATGTGGACTTCAGCTCCCAGAATCTCTAGCCAGCATGCTTTAAGATATGTGGACTTCAGTTCCCAGAATCCCCCAGCCAGCATGCTTTAAGATATGTGGACTTCAATATGTGGGTGGGGGATTCTGGGTGTTGAAGCCCACCTATCTTCAAGCTACCGAGGTTGAGAAACACTGCCGTAAACCCACGTATTGAAGTCCACATATCTTAAAGCATGCTGGCTGGGGAATTCTGGGAGTTGAAGTCCACCCATCTTTAAGCTACCAAGTTTGAGAAACACTGCTGTAAATCCAGCCTGACCAAGCAGCTGGATTTACAAATACAGCCACAAATACAAGTCGTCCTCAAGTTACGACCACCACCGAGCCCAACATTTAAGGTTGCTTCAGCAAGACATTTGTTAAGTGAGTTTTGCCCCATTTTACGACCTTTCTCGCCATGGTCGTTCACTGAGTCACACCATGGTTAAGTGAACCTGGCTTCCCCTGTTGACGTTGCTTGTCAGGAGGCCGCAAAAACGGATCGCATGAAACACACACACACACATACCGTGGGACGCTGCAACCGTCATAAATACGAACCAGCTGCCAAGCATCAGAATTTTGATCACGTGACCATGGGGGGGGGGAAGATGCTACGACGGTCGTAAGTGTGGAAAAAGCATAAAACACTTTTTTTTCAGTGCCATTGTAACTATGAACGGTCACTAAGTGAAGTGTTTGTAAGTCGAGGACTCCCTGTAAAAGCATAGCAATCTGGGTATGTGTGAATGAATGCTTGACTGCCAGGGATCCCACAAAGCAATTCAAACCTTTGCCAGATGTTTCCAACCACTGGCAGACTTTTGATCTCACTACTATCATGGCTGCTGAATCTGGACATTTTTTAAAAAAACCCAACCCTGCCGACATCCCTGGCAGATGCAGAAAAGGCAGAGACCAGAGATGGGTTTCAGCAGGTTCTGACCAGTTCTGGAGAACCGGTAGTGGAAATTTTGAATAGTTCGGAGAACCGGTAGTAAAAATTCTGACTGGCCCCACCCCCATCTATTCTCTGCCTCCCGAGTCCCAGCTGATCGGGAAGAAATAGGGATTTTGCAGTAACCTTCCCCTGCAGTGGGGAGGGAATGGGGATTTTGCAGTATCCTTCCCCTGGAGCAGGGAGGGAATGGAGATTTTACAGTATCCTTCCCCTGGAATGGGGAGGGAATGGAGATTTTACAGTATCCTTCCCCTGGAGTGGGGTGGGAATGGAGATTTTACAGTATCCTTCCCCTGGAGCGGGGAGGGAATGGAGATTTTACAGTATCCTTCCCCTGGAGCGGGGTGGGAATGGAGATTTTACAGTATCCTTCCCCGGAGTGGGGTGGGAATGGAGATTTTACAGTATCCTTCACATGCCACGGGCACCAAGCCATGCCACACCCACCAAGCCACGCCCACAGAATCGGTAGTAAAAAATTTTGAAACCCACCACTGACACAAAAACCCAACAGGTCAAACTTCTCCATCCTTCCTCTTTTAGCCTGGGAAAATGTCACCTGCTGAATTTGATATTTTTTGCAAACTGATCAGGTAGATGAGATGAGAATTGGCCTTTTCAGAGCCAGCCCTCTTCTGTCTCTTCACCTGTTCTACAAGAAGTAAGGAAGCTCACTATAAATAGCCCCAAATAGGTAAATATTTCCCAAGCAGGGAGTTGGTTCAAAACCTGGCCTATTTTTAATTCTCTGCCTTGCATTTTTCTTTCTTTTTTTTTTTCTTTCAGCCCGAACAATGTGGCTTTTTAGTTGCTTGGTATACATCTTGATAATTTCATTTTGGCTTCCTTTCTTTGATGCTCCCAACCCTGTTGACTAAACCTTCAGATCTCTTACTCATAATTTAAGTAGTAAACCATAACTTTGTTTTGCACCATTCATGATGTTTTTCTCTCTCACAAGAGCTGCGGTTATATAAGCCTAAGGGAAAGGGAAAGGTTCCCTTCACACATATGTGCTAGTCGTTCCCGACTCTAGGGGGCGGTGCTCATCTCAGTTTCAAAGCCGAAGAGCCAGCGCTGTCCGAAGACGTCTTCGTGGTCATGTGGCCGGCATGACTCAACGCCAAAGGCGCACGGAACGCTGTTCCCTTCCCACCAAAGGTGGTCCCTATTTTTCTACTTGCATTTTTTACGTGCTTTCGAACTGCTAGGTTGGCAGAAGCTGGGACAAGGAACGGGAGCTCACCCCATTACGCGGCGCTAGGGATCCGAACCGCTGAACTGCCGACCTTTCGATCGACATGCTCGGCGTCTTAGCCGCTGAGCCACCGCGTCCCTTTTATATAAGCCGAGTTACTTAAGGTTAATTTCATCTAGTTTGGGTGATGGAACATCTGCAAGAAAAGAAGCAAGTTCAGAGAGCACCAAGGAGCCCTCAATTCAACCCAGAATATTCTCAAATATTCTCCTTGGTCACATAAGCCTCCAAAGCGAAATCTAGGCATTTCACCTTCTAGCAAACTGTGTGACTCAACCTTGAATCAGCTTATTCTTTCCGATATTTCAAAATTCCTTATAGAAGAGAGTAATAGTAAAGGAATGACACCCATTTCTTTTCTTTTATTATTAGTATTTCTTAATTCATGTCCATACAAGCTTGGCTGTTTTGGAGAAGAAGAATTAAAAATTCGTGGACAGTTTCCTTTCGAAAGTTTGTGATCATTTTCGTGAGATTCCCATTCTCAGATAATGGCTAAATATCTCCAGCTCAATTTTTATGTACGATGAAGCCTGGCTTTCCAAGAACGAAGCAAACAGGCCACGGATATTCCTTCTAGAGAGATTCTACTTTACATTTTACCTCCACTTAATACAGATAATATTGATTTATCACCACTATTATCCGTTGCAAAGCGGGACAGTTGTTAAGTGAATTTCGTCCCATTTTACGACCTTTCTCCCCCACTGTTGTTAAGTGAAACCCTGCGGGTGTTAAGCTAGCCACACGGTTGTTAAGTGAATCTGGCTTCCTCATTGACATTCCTTGTCAGAAAGTTGCAAAAGGGGATTGCGTGATCCCGGGAGGCTGCAACCGTCATAAATACGAGTCCGAATTAAGCGTCTGAATTTTGATGACGGGGATGCTGCCATCGTCATAAGTGTGAAAAGTGCTTCCTTCAGTGCCATTGTAAGTTAAACTGGTCACTAAACAAACTCTTCTTGTAAGGCTTGGGGGGAGTCATTGAATCAACCTGATATTGTTAGGAAAAAAATTATACAGCATTTTTGTCCTGTCTCGCCTTATCAACATCCGAGAGAGAGAAAAGAGAAAATCTTCTAAACACTGCTGGTGCCAGGATGATAAAAAAAAAAGCCCCTTGGCTGGGAATTATGGGAATTGAAGTCCGACACACACCCACAGGTTAGAGAAAGTTTTTTGGGTCCTGTGGTATCTTAGTACCTCCTTTTTTAACAGGCGAGGAGGAAGAAATAAGAATATTGGAAGCTTAGTCACCCCAAATGTCCACCCCCACTTCAATATCCTTCAGGGTGCAGAATTGGGGTGGGGGAGAGGATACCCTGTCATTTTAGCAACCTCTTTTTTTTTTCTTCATTCATTCATTCAGCCAGCACAAGCCCCTTGCCCTCTCTGAGGTCCTACCCACTCCTCCATCTTGGAAAAAGACTCACCCCAGATCACATGAGATGCTTGGAGAAGACAGCCGAATCCCCAGCTCTAAAGATTTCCTCTCGTCTCTATCTCACGGGTACCCAAAGCATCTACTTGGTTGAGCTGGCGGGGATTTTACAGGTCTTGGCAAGGCACCGGTCCTCAAGATTCGTCTCCTCGCATGCAGAACGTTTTGACGCGTTCCTCCTCCAGAAAACCTCGGTCCTTCCAGGTTGTGGATTGCGGCAGCTCCTTTCAATCTCCCTCAACCTGTTTTTTTGGGCCCAGATTGCGAAAGGTAGCGAGGAGTAGCTTTTGCCATTCACACCTCCACCTTGCCAGCGGAGAAGTGCACAGGCCAGACTGCAGGAGGCAAAGCAAACCCTGGAATTATTTTGAATGTGGGTGTCCTTTTTTTTTTTTTTTCCTCCTCTTTCCTTGATGTTCAGGTTCCTTTCCTCAAATTCAGGCTTGGGATGGTCCAGGTTGTCCCAAAAAGATCGCACAAGGTATAGAAACACCTTGTAGGTGAACATGCCCGCATTAATCATTCAAGAATTGATGACGATGATGACGTTATCCATTCAGTCATGTCTGACTTTTGGGGATTTTACGGGACCGGGTCTCTCTGGAATCTTCCAATCTTGCACCACAGGTAGTCCTCGACTTACGACCACAATCGAGCCCCAAATTTCTGTTGCTAAGCGAGACGGGGTTGTTAAATAAATTTTGCCCCCATTTTAAAACCTTTTATTTATTTATTTATTTATTTTTTACCACGGTTGTCCATCACTGTAGTTGTTAAGTTAGTAACATGGTTGTTAAGTGAATCTGGTTTCCCCCTTGACTTCCCCCCCCCGTCATAAATATGAGTCAGTTGCCAAGCTTCTGAATTTTGATCATGCGACCACGGGGTTTCTGCAACGGTCGTAAGGGTGAAAAACGGTGCTAAGTCACTTTTTTCAGTGCCGTTGTAACTTTGGTTACTAAAGGAATTGTTGTAACTCAAGGACTACCTAGATTAGTCTTAACCTGCACTTTTAAAATTCAGCTTTGCCTTTTGGCACCAAGATCTCGTTTCTCAATCTTGCCCACTTGAAGATGGGTGGACTTCAACTCCCAGAATTCCCCAGCCAGCTGGCTGGGGAATTCTGGGAGTTGAAGTCCACCCATCTTCAAGCGGGCAAGATTGAGAAATACTGCCTTAAAGACACCAGAAGTCCACGAATCAACTTCCAAACCCTCTCCGGACATTGCAATTTTTAACCCAGCCAATGATAAAGTGCCCGATTGGCATTCATGGGCACTTTAGCTATTTTAGCTATTTTATTTTAGCTATTTAACATGACATCAGATGAACCCTTCGTCCTGCCTCTTCCCATTCTGATGCCCTCGTCTTTGTTTTGGGAATGTCGCTTCTCACTGGCTGGGCCAAAAGCCCAACGTGGCTTTCCCCTCCCTCAAACGTGTCACACATCCCAAATCTAGATCCTGTTGGAAGCCGTGGGAATTCCTTTCTGAATCAGCGTTGGGTTCTGGTAAAGACACTTGCATTGTTTCCTGAGAAAATGGGCACGCGTTCAAGGAAGACTTAAAGTCCCAGTCAGCTTCAACCTGAGGGCCTTCTTGCAAAGAAGGAAGATCTTGGAAGTTTTGCAATGCTTCTCTAAGGTACGTTTCTGCCACCTACTGGTCTTGATGATCTCTAGGAGCCAGATCACATCGTCCGATTTGGCACTAGTTCTTTGAGTCTTTCGACGCCCCCGTTTGGCGTCGGCTTTGATGGTGCCCATCCATCAACGTTCTTTGAAGGCCTCTTACCGCTAACTCTTCCCAACATCATTGCTTTCTCCAGGTCCCCCGTATGACACGGCCAACATACGTGAAGTGCGGTTTTGTGATGATGTCTTCCCGTGCAGCGGTGGGTTTCACATTACATTACTGCCGGTTCCTTTGGGATAAACCATCGTCCCCCCAAATAGGAATAACACAGTGCTTTCCAGCCCTCTCTAAGCAGTTTACAGAGTCAGCCTCTTGCCCCCAACAATCTGGGTCCTCATTTTACTGACCTCGGAAGGATGGAAGGCTGAGTCAAACCTTGGAATTCTGGGAGTTGAAGTCCACCTTCTTAAATTCATTAGCATGCTAGCTGGGGAATTCTGGGAGTTGAGGTCCACCTGTCTTAAATTCGCTAGCATGCTAGCTGGGGAATTCTGGGAGTTGAAGTCCACCTGTCTTAAATTCGCTAGCATGCTAGCTGGGGAATTCTGGGAGTTGAAGTCCACCTGTCTTAAATTTGCTAGCATGCTAGCTGGGGAATTCTGGGAGTTGAAGCTCACATATCTTTAAAGTTTGCTAGCGTGCTTTCTGGGAAATTCTGGGAATCGAAGTCCACCCATCTTAAAGCTCATAGGCTGCTGACTAGGGAATTCTGGGAGTCAAAGTCCACCCATCTTACATGCATGTTGGCCGGGGAATCCTTTTACCTGTAGACTTGCCAACTCTCTTTCGGAAGGCTAATTCCTATACCTGTCCGAGCTTAATCCATAAATAGAAAAACCGGTGAAAGGGATGAACTCCCTGCCACGAAAAAATACTACTGGGGCCACAAAAAAAATTCCAGGAATAACTTGGGCTCCCTCTTCCCAAGGAATTAGCAATCCCATTTTTATTTTTCCATGGACTCGATGGCCAAACCAGGTTCCCTCCTCTGTGGAACCGGAAATATTCACCTGTGTGATGTTGACAGGCAAAATACCTGCAGCTGAAAACAAGGAAGCTTCCCAAACCATCTTTATTTCAATTTCACTTTGGGTCCCGAAAGGTGCTGAGCATGTGGGGAGCTGGGAGAAGGGTCTTGCATTGTGGAAGACGACAAAAGCTGGAAAGAGATGGGTGAAGGGCTACCCTCGTCTCCTCCTCCTCCCGCCAAGCCCTCCGTTGGGTCTCCGGGACGGCTGAAATGCAATGCATGGCCATCACGGGTCGAAGGCTGAAAAGTTGCCTACCTTTCTGTTTGCTTCCACTGGATCATGCTCTTCTCCTTTAGTGGACATGTGAGCTTGGTTGGTGCAACTTCCTTGCACATCAGTGAAGCTCAGCCTGCGTCTTCCTCATCTGTGGACTTCAAAGCAACTGTGGAAGTCCTCAATTATCTCCTTCTTTTGATCCCTCCCATGGCTCTCATCTGCAACCCCCCCTCCCCTTCCTTTCTTTGATTTTTGTGAATGACAGAGGAATGCCGTGACTAAGCCTCGGAGCAGCGCAAAACGTGGGACCTTCGCCAATCAAAATAATTATTATCCGTGAAGCGGAAAATCAAGCCGGACCAGGGACCAGCAGTGGCTGCTAAGAGAAAAGAAATTAAACACACACCTTTCCTTCTTCTCCATGTGAGTTATGGCTGGGGCATTTATTTCATTTATTTTATGGTATTTATATGTATAGGTAGTCCTTGATTTACAATGGTTTGTTTAGTGACCGTTCAAAGCAGTGGTGAAATGTAAAATTTGTTACTACCGGTTCTGTGGGCACGGCTTGGTGGTGGTGGGGGTAATGTGACTGGGTGGGCATGGCCAACTTTTTTTTTTTTTTTTACTTGGTCGAAGAGGTTGTTAAAAAAAATGCTTTTAAAAGCCTCTGACGATCAGGCAATTTAGCTGGGATTGCCAGAGGCTTTTAAAGGCATTTTTTTTCCTACAGCCTCTTCGGCCGTAGAGGTTGCAGAAAAAAATGCTTTTAGAAGCCTCTGACGATCCCAGCTGAGCCGCGCAATCATCAGAGGCTTTTTTTTTTACTTTTAAAAGCGTTTTTTTCAGCCGAAGAGGTGGTAGAAAAAATGCTTTTAAAAATTTAAAAAAAAGCCTCTGATGATCGCGCGGCTCAGCTATGCATGGGGGGGGGGGCAGGGATTTTTGCTACCGCTTCTCTGAACCACCCGCCTCCATCGCTACCGGATCGGGTGATCCGGTCCAAACTGGGAGCATTTCACCCCTGGTTCAAAGTTACAACAGCACTGAAAAAAAACCAGTGGTCACTGTTTTCACACGATCTTTGCAGCATCCCCGTGATCATGTGATCAAAACTCAAGATGCTTGACACCTGGCATGTACTTATGACGGTTGCAGTGTCCCGGAGTCATTTGATCACCTTAGCAGCCTTCTGATCAGCAAAAATCAACAGGGAAGCCAGATTCACTTAACAACCGTATTACTCACTTAACAACAGCAGCGATTCGCTTAACAGCTGGGGGGCAGGAAAGGTCGTAAAATGGGGTGAAATTCATTTTTAACATCTGTCTCGCTTAGCAACAGGAATGTTGGGCTCAATTGTGGTTGTAATTTGAGGATGTCATGCATTTCTATGTTTTTTTTGTTTTGTTTTTATTTGATTTATATGCCGCCCTTCTCCGGAGACTCAGGGCAGCTTACAGTGCGTTAAGCAATAGCCTTCATACTTTTGTATATTTATACAAAGTCAGCTTATTGCCCCCACAAACTGGGTCCTCAATTTACCTACCTTAGAAAGGATGGAAGGCTGAGTCAACCTTGAGCCTGGTGAGATTCGATCTTACTTTAATTGCAGATAGCTGGTGTTAAATTACAGTGCTCTGTCTGTGAGCTATCCAGGCTCGTTTTATTTTACTGATTCTGAAACGGGAGCCTGAATCAGTCAATTCCTTTTGAGTTTTGATTTTTCTTTTTTTCAACTTTTCAGATTGACCGAACAGACACCGGGACTGAATTGGAGAACTTGGATATGGAAAACAAATACCGGTAAATCAGAATAGATCTGGAAGGGACCTTGGAGGTCTTCTAGTCCAGCCCCCTGCTCAAATAGGAGACCCTCTACCATTTCAGACGGCTGCCCAGTCTCTTCTTAAAAACCTCCGGTGATGAAGCACCCACAACGTCTGGTGGCAAGCAGTTCCACTGGCTTATTGTCCTCCCTGTTAGGGGAGCTTCTCCTTCATTCCAGGTTGCTTAACGATTACCGGAGAACAATAGCAGAAATACTGGCATCATTGACACACGGTGCTAAACAATCTGTCTGCTTGCTTTTTGCCGTAATGTCTTGGGTGAACCCAGTTAGCAGAATCTGGAATCCATGGTTGATGGCTTAACGTGTGGTCAACCTAACCTTGAGCTGATTCCGCAAAGGAAGGATAAGCAGGTTATTAAGATCTGGATATGATCTTTCACCATCCATTGTGTTTTTGCAAACACTGTCTCTTCTGACTTGTTGCATGAACCACTTGTGGAGACGTATCTACAGGGAAATCTCTATCAAGAACATCTACCTTACTTTTTACAACCAGATCAGTGTTTCACAAACTTGGTAGCTTGAAGATGGGTGGACTTCAACTCCCAGAATCCCCCAGCCAGCAGCGCTGGCTGGGGGATTCTGGGAGTTGAAGTCCACCCATCTTCAAGCTTCCAAGGTTGAGAAACACTGCATTAGAGAATGATTCCTGCAGATGTCTTAATTTTCCGAACGCTATTAAGCACAATTACAGTTGTTGCTAATCTCTCGGGTACCTTCGCCTTTCTGCTTTTTTTTTTCTTTCTTTCTTCTTTTTCTTCAAACCACAGGTTTCTGGGTTGTCGGAAATGCACCGCAGTTTCCTGTGCTGCGCTTGTGTGGCCCCAGATGCAACTTCACGGAGGAAAGATGATGCAGAAAAGAAAAGAAGATGCAGAAAAATGAGTCGCTTCCCCCGGTCCAAGTTGCACGAAGGCTTCGTAGGATCAGACAGACTGTGATTTTAATACAAGCTTTGGCCAATATCCTGCCTGTGTGTTTGCAACAATTTGGGGACAGGATGATGCAAGGAGAAGGCAAAATTGTGTTTGCTGATTATTTTGTACAATTACAAAATGGGGCACGTACACGTTCGTTTATCGACTGCTCAAGTGACACGTGTGAAAAATATAATAAAGGGAATATATATTTAATACTGCATGTTTTGACGGCAATGAGACCTGTACTTGCACAACATTGGAAAAATGAGGAAACACCTTCAGATGAAAATATAATTAAAAAGAATATTAGATTGTGCAGAAATGGATAGGTTAATATTACAAGCAAAGGATAAAGAAGACACAGAATATTTTTTTTAAAAGTTGGGATTGTTTTATCAAAGGTTATATAATAAAAGTAGAAATTAGAAGTTGGAAGAATGCTATTATATACAAGCAAAGAATATTATTACCACTATTATTATGTAAAATGACCCAGACAATACACTGTTTATCAAATACCTACATATGTTAAATGTATAAATAAAAATGTATAATTAAAAATACTAAAAAAAAAAATCTTCTTAAGAAAAATAAGGGGATTGGTTTTAGGTCAGGGATCTGCAACCTTAAACACTCAAAGAGCCATTTGGACCCGTTTTCCCACAGAAAAGAAAACACCGGGAGCCACAAAACCCTTCCCGTGCCTGAATATTTCTTGAGCGGCCACAAAACTAGCATATGTAGTTGAATTAAATGTTTTGTTTTCTTCTGAAACTTTTCTTTTCTTGGATTTATTCATGGTTGGCCTACTGGGAGAGTTGAAAAGCTCAATAAATTGGGTGTCGCACATTGGCGGTTGTGACACATATTTTGAGTGACAGGGAGCCGCAGCAGAGGGGTGAAAGAGCCACATGCGGCTCCAGAGCTGCAGGTTGCTGACCCCTCTCCTAGGTGGTGCAAATTGTGAACCATTTTTCTTTCCAAATGGGTTTTGCGTACATACGGAATATTGGGAAATCAGATTCAGAAGCAAAGGTTAGGAACTCAGTACAATCATTAACTGTGTTGGGTGGGGAGGATGAGTTCTGTAGTCCCAACACATACAGAAGAGAATGGAATGAAGATGTTGTTTCAATATTAAACTCCTTGGTTTTAAACTCCCTGCACCTAAGTGTCCTTAGTAGCAATTACTTAAAAGAAAAAAACAAAGAGTAAATCAACTATACAATTTTAAGTATGTATAATGGTCTCCTTTGGCTCCGTCTTAACTGAGATGAAATAATTAATAATAATTAAGTTGAGAACAATGCCCAATTAGCATAGCTTCATCCTTTCCAAATCAGATAGGCATTAAAATAAAGGAAACAAACCAGACACGCCCGTTTGATGCTTCTTTCAATTACGATGCCTGGATAAAGTCACACAAATGAAATGCCAGATTTTGCTGGGCTGACCAGCTTTGGTGGCATTTAAATAGCTTAGCTTTGACTCTGCATCCCAGTTGCCCTGATCAGAATAACAGGATAATAACAGAATAACAGAATTGGAAGGGACCTTGGAGGTCTTCTAGTCCAACCCCTTGCTCAAGCAGGAGAACCTTTACCATTTCAGACAAATGGCTGTCCAATCTCTTCTTAAAAACATCCTGTATTGGAGCGTTCATAACTTCTGGAGGCAAATCATTCCATTGATCAATTGTTCCAACTGTCAGGAAATTTCTCCCTAGTTCTAGATTGCTTCTCTCCTTGATCATCCATTGCTTCTTGTCCTGCCCTCAGGTGCTTTGGAGAATAGCTTGACTCCCTCTTCTTTGGGGCAGCCCCTGAGATATTGGAAGACTGCTATCATGCCACCCCTAGTCCTTCTTTTCATTGAACTAGACATACCCAGTTCCTGCAACTGTTCTTCATATGTTTTAGCCTCCAGTCCCCTAATCCTCTTTGTGGCTCTTCTCTGCACTCTTTCTAGAGTCTCCACATCTTTTTTACATCGTGGCGACCAAAACTGGATGCAATATTCCAAGTGTGGCCTTACCAAGGCATTATAAAGTGGTATTAACACTTCCCCTGATCTTGATTCTATCCCTCTGTTTATGCATCCATACTGTTATATAGGTAGTCCTTGATTTACGACCACTCATTTAGTGACGGTTCAAAGTTACAACGGCAACTGAAAAAGTGAATAATGACTCTTTTCACACTTACAGCTCTTGCAGTATCCCCATGGTAGCGTGATCAAAAAATGTGGGTGACCAAAAAATTGAGGAAGAAAAATTGGATTGCCAACATGATCACCAACGTCCAATGATGGATATGGCACAAGAAGAAAAAGAAGAAGGACTTCAACTCCCAGAATTCCCCAGCAAGCCAGCCAGGTGAAGTCCAAATGGCCCAAACGCCGATCCAGAAAGACTAGACATCTCATATTTCTAACAATTTTATGGACATCTCCATGCAATTGACTTGAAGAGCTAAGCTGAATAGGATCTGGTTGAGAATAGAATATAAAAAAATCTGATTATTTTTTTTTCAGGAACCATGCTGTGACTACCATAGTGTCAGCACTTCAAACTACATTCGTTCCAGTGCTGACATAAGGAGGAGAAGAGGGGGCAGCTGGCAAGAGGACGCTTGACTTTTCACCTACTTATTTTCCCTGAAGATAATATCCCCTAGGAGATGGGGTGGGAGGGGGAACATTCCTGGGAGCTGAAGTAGTAGATATGGGGAGAGTGATTTGGAAGATGGCCAATGAGACGCAGAGAATTGGGGAACGGAAAGGGAAGGTTTGGGGTCAGGAAGTCAGTGTTGGCTTCGACATAATCGGGGACAGATTGTCGTGCTTAATAAATGAAAGATTTCATCAAAGATTATCTGTTTGGAAATGCAATTTATTTGAGACGACATCGAAACCCGACACATAGCCACTTCCTCTGCTTATTATTAATGGACTAATCAGCAAAAAGAGCTGGGCCTTGCTATAAATCTCTTTTGGAAAGAAGTTATTATATACGGTATGAGTCAATCGGGAAAGCCTCAAGTCATATACTCAATGAACTCTTGTGAGTCAATAAATATAAAACAAGTGGATAAATAAAGCTGGGGAAAATGGCCTTCGGATAATTAAGCGATGCGCCTCTCTACTACGAGATGGCAAAGAGGAGGAAAAAATCCAGATAAAATCTTGCTTGAGTTGAGGTGACTTAATAAGTGTGTGTATATATGCCTTTTTCTTAGGTTTGTCATCATTTCCTTCTGGTGTTTTGCTACAGAAGGCAAAACTTATAAGAGGAAGAGCTCTCTGATAGAGGATTTAGTGGTCTTGCCATACGCAGAATTCTTGCAAGAAAGAAATGAGGAGTTTTTTCAGGGGGAAAGTGGGGGGGAAGAGGGTAGGCCAAAATGGTCAGGCAGAAGCTGAACAGCCATTCGTCAGGAGTGATTGATAACTAGATAAATATCCATAGATATATCATAGAATGCTGGGACTGGAAGGGACTTTGGAGGTCTTCTAGTGGCTAGTTACTGTATAATGTAGACCATCCTGCTGCCCAAGCAGAAGCCCTTATATTATCCTGGATATCTATCCATCCATCCATCCATCCATCCACCCAACTTCCATCCATCCATCTATTCATTTATCCATCCATCCATCCATCCATCCATCCATCCATCCATCCACCCAACTTCCATCTATCCATCTATCCGCCCATTCACCCACACATCCATCTACCCAACTTCCATCCATCCATCTATCCATCCATCCACCCATGCAATCATTCATTCATCCACACCATCCATCCACCCATCTATCCATCTATCCATCCATCCATCCATCCATCCACCCATCCATCCATCCATCCTTCCATCCATCCACTCATCCATCTATCCATCCATCCATCCATCCATCCACTCATCCATCAATCTCTTGAGTGTTACTGTAGATTCCTACACTGAGTGGGGGTGGGGGTGGTCTTGATGACCTCAAGATTCCCTCCTACATCAGTCTCCAGAACCAAGGTCATCTGAGAGTGCTTTCTTTCACAGTAAACTGATGCCTTCTGGGAAGCATTACTGGCCACCTTGCCCTAAACGGAAAAGTCTCTATTCCAGAAAAATGATGCCCCTTGGGAAAATAAGCATTAATTGGCATTACAGATAGTCCTCAACTTACAACAGTTCGTTTAGCGACTGCTCAAAGTTACAACAGCTCTGGAAAAAAGCGACTTACGACCATTTTTCACACTTATGACCAAAGCAGCCTCCCCATGGCCACATGACCAAAATTCAGACACTTGGCAACTGACTCATATTTATGACAGTTGCAGTGTCCACTTGATCCCTTTTTGTGACCGTCTGACAAGCAAAGTGAATGGGGAAGCCAGATTCGCTTCACAACCGTGTTACTAATTTAACAACCGCAGTGATTGACTTAACAACCGTGGCAAGAAAGGTCATAAAATGGGGCGAAACTCACTTAACAAGCGTCTCGCTTAGCACCAGAAATGTCAGACTCCATTGTGGTTGTAAATCGAGGACTACTTGTATTGGAATCGCTGGGGAAATACTAACCGTGAAATCCCAAGATTTGGAAACACCCTTTTGTATAAAAAACGTTGTTCATTGATTTACAGGGCAAAGTACAGCCGGTTTCTAACCACACCTCCTCCGAAGGAAATTAAATTTAATTTCCTGGCATCTTATAGAAAGTTCTATTTTTACCCAGAGGGCATAAGAAGTAAACCTCCTTTAATCCGCCAACTTTGGCAAACCTCCAAAATGGCTTTGCAACAGCCCATCTTAAATCCGGTGAGTACGATGAGAATTTCCACGGGGGATTTTTTTGGGGGCGGGCGGGGAGAGATTTCACCTCCCCCCCCCAATATATGATGATGTCCAATACACAGAATTAGAGACACTGAGATAAAGTGGGAATGGGCACTAAAAATAAAAGAGAAAGAAACACCAGAATACGTTTTAACATGGGATTTGTTTTTATCAAGGGCTAACTAATGGAAACAGAGGTTAGAAACGTAAAAAGGAATAAAAGAAAGATTGATCATATAAAAAAATGAATAAGTTAATGTTATTTTTACTATGGGACTATTATCAATATTAGACCTATTAGGATTACTTTTATGCTCATTGTCTTTTTGTTATTATTCAAAATGAATGGTACATAGGCAACACACCGTTCATATAGATATGCAATTTTTTAATGTTTATTAAATGTATAAAATGTATTAATAAAACATATTGTTTAAAAAAACCGTGTGGGAATGGGCTTCCTGAGAGGGAGAGAGACAAGCAGCTCGTTGTACCATCTCACAACAAAGTTCCACACGGTAGCAAAGGAAGAAAGAAATTGCTAAAGGTTGGAGCTTTTCATGGAGGTTAAAGATGGGAGAAGTTTCGTTGTCTTCAGTTCTTGGTCAGCCTTCAGTCTGAAAGTCAGGGAGAAGGAAGGAAGGAAGGAAGGAAAGAAAGAAAGAATGAGGGTATGAGGGAGAGAGGAAAAAGAAGAGAAAGATTGAAAGGAAAAAAGAAAGAAAGGGGAGGAGAAGGAAAGAAGAAACAAAGGGAGAGAGAGAAAGAGAGAGAAGGAAGGAAGGAAGGAAACAAAGAGCCTTGGTAGTACAGTGGTCTAAAGCACCCTGTTATTAAGACCAGCTGCCTGCAATTACTGCAGGTTCGAATCTCGCCAGGCTCAAGGTTGACTCAGCCTTCCATCCTTTCAAAGGTAGGTAAATTGAGGACCCAGATTGTGGGGGCAATAAGCTGACATTGTATAAATATACAAAAGGATGAAGGCTATTGCTTAGCGCATTGTAAGCCGCCCTGAGTCTCCGGAGAAGGGCGGCATATAAATCAAATTTTAAAAAAATAATAAAGAAAATGAAGGAATGAGGGAGGAAAAAGAAGAGAAAGATTGAAAGGAAAAATGAAAGAAAGGGGAAGAGAAGGAAAGAAGAAACAAAAGGAGAGAGAGAAAGAGGAGAGAGAGAGAAGGAAGGAAAGAAAGAAAGATGGAAGGAGGGAGGGAGGGAGGGAGGAAAAAGAAGAGAAAGATTGAAAGAAAAAAAGAAAGAAAGGGGAGGAGAAGGAAAGAAGAAACAAAGGGAGAGAAAGAAAGAGAGAGAGAAGGAAGGAAAGAAAGAAAAAGATGGAAGGAGGGAGGGAGGAAAAAAGAAGAGAAAGATCGAAAGAAAAAAGAAAAAGAGAGAGAGAGAGGGACGGAAGGGGAAGGAAAGATGAAAGAAGGGGAGGGAGGGACAAAAAATAAAAAGAAAGAGAAAGAAAGAGAAGGAAGGGATGGAGGGAGGGAGGGAGAAAGGAGAAGGAAAGATTAAAAAAGGGAGGGAGGGACGAAAAAGAAAAAAGAAAGAAAGAAAGAAAGAAAAAACAAAAGGAAGGAAGAAGAAGGGAGGAAGGAAGGAAGGAAGGATTTTTTTTTTCTTATCGGGGTCTCGCCTGTTAAGGCAAACTAAGGTCTACAGCTGTTTCCTGCAAGTGATAGAAACAGCTTGACCTTGTTTTGCCTCAAGCTAAGCAAAATTGAACCTGGTCCGTTCTTGGCTGGACAAGCGCTTGGGAATACCACGCCTCTCGGTCAGACAAAGGGCAGCTGGAAAAGACGTCTTGAAAGAAACGTCTGTGTGAGCCTCGTTTTATTTCCGAATATCGTGAGGATCCTAATTCTTGAATCAGAAACCATGTTCATGAAGACTAATTCTAGGAGATTAAAGTAGCTTTCCTTAGCCAAGCCAAGCGGTGAGTGGTTTCCTCTAAGCCCTTTTCTGTTTCCTGCTTTCTTGAAATTAACCACGTAGGAGAAAGTGGGTGTCTGCAGTCGAATTCTGACCCACAAAAACACATTTTAGTCTCTTCTAAGGCAGGGGTCTTCATCCTTGGCCACTTTAAGAGCTGTGGACTTCAATTCCCAGAATTCCCCAGCCAGCTTATGGCACAGATTTGAGTATATTTAGTCAGTTAGTTTACTTTATTGATTAGCCCTCGGGCCGTATCAAAGTGCAGAGTTCCAGGCACAAATGATTACTAAAATCTGATTATCAGGGACCCTGTGGCTCAGTGGCTAAGACGTTGAGCGTGTCAATCAGAAGGTCAGCAATTCAGTGGTTCGAATCCCTAGTGCTGTGTAACGGGGTGAGCTCCCGTTCCTTGTCCCAGCTTCTGCCAACCTAACAACCTTTTGAAAGCATGTAAAAAATGCAAGTAGAAAAAGTGGGTGATTTTTTTACTTTTCCCCCTCTTTATCCCGCAGAGCGTCCCCTTTTGCAGCCCAATTTTTGGAGGCCTCTGCGAAGGAAAAGTTATTTTAATCCAAGGCTGCGTCCCGTTCTCTGCGAAAAGGTTTGTTATCTCTTGATTGCGGATGGCTCAGCTGCTCCTCCCTTCCTTTTGTGCCCATTTCACCTTCTGCTTTGAAGGCGATTGTCCTTTCACCCCGTTACACCGAAGGGTGTTTCATTCGTTTTATGGCTTGATGATCCCTGCTGGTAAGAAAGGAGGGACTGAACAAGTCCAAGGGCCGAGTGGCTCTTGGGTGGCTTCTTAACATCACACGCACAACTTTGCTGGAGCAGCTCAAAGTCCATTTTAATCCAGCATTTTGTTTTTTATGGGTAAAATCCGAGAAAGCTGCAAGGTTATTACTGTAGGTCCAACCTCTGCTTCCTGCAGAATCAGCTGCAGGACATGCAGGGATGTCCAACCTTGGCAACCTTCAGACTTGGGGACTTCAACTCCCAGAACTCCCCAGCCAGCATGTTTTAAGATGAGTGGACTTCAACTCCCAGAATTCCCCAGCCAGCATGCTTTAAGTTGGGTGGACTTCAATTCCCAGAATTCCCCAGCCAGCGTGCTTTAAATTGGGTGGACTTCAACTCCCAGAATTCCCCAGCCAGCAGATGAGTGGACTTCAACTCCCAGAATTCCCCAGCCAGCATGTTTTAAGATGAGTGGACTTCAACTCCCAGAATTCCCCAGCCAGCATGCTTTCAGTTGGGTGGACTTCAATTCCCAGAATTCCCCAACCAGCTTTAAGTTCAGTGGACTTCAACTCCCAGAATTCCCCAACCAACATGTTTTAAGATGAGTGGACTTCAACTTCCAGAATTCCCCAGCCAGCAATGCTTTAAGTTGGGTGGACTTCAACTCCCAGAATTCCCCAGCCAGCTGCTTTCCTATATTGTAGATCAGGAGTTTCCAACCTTGGCAACTTTAAGACCTGTGGACTTCAACTCCCAGAAGCATAGCTGGCTGGGGAATTCTGGGCGTTGAAGTCCACAAGTCTTAAAGTTATCAGGATTGCATGCCCAATCTTGCTGTAGATCATTTTTTGAAGTCAAAAGATGGAGCTTGAAGAGCATATATTCAGCTGCAGGGCCTTTGACGTTCCAGATTCTCTGTGAACCTGGTGTGTGCGAATGGAGATACCGCCTTCCACTTCAACCCACGATTTGATGAAGGCAACGTCATTGTGTGCAACACGCAAGAAAAAGGCTGCTGGGGACCTGAGGAACGGACCTCCCAAATGCTCTTCCAGCGCGGCGTCTCTTTTGAAGTGGTCATCAACATCAGGAGCTGTGGGTACCAGGTAAAACCAAGAGCAGAAGGTTCTCTTGGGGACCTCTTGACATCCATTGGGCCCTTGGTGCTCTCTGAGCTTGGTGGTTTTCTTGCAGATATTTCACTACCAGCTAGGTAATGCCATCAATGCCAATGAAAGTCAGCTCAGAGAGTATCAAGAGCCCCACAATTGTAGTTCTCTCCTTTTCCTTTTCCTTCCTTCCTTCCTTCCTTCCTCCCTCCCTCCCTCCCTTCATCTTCCCTTTTCTCCTTTTCTTTCTCCTCCTCCGTCCTCCTTCACTTTCTGCTTCCCTTCTCCCCTTCCTCCCCTCCTCCTCCCTCTTCTTCTTCTTCTTCTTCTTCTTCTTCTTCTTCTTCTTCTTCTTCTTCTTCTCCTTCCTCCTCCTCCTTCTCCTCCTCCTCCTCCTCCTCTTCCTCCTCCTCCTCCTCCCTCTTCTTCTTCTTCTTTTTCTTCTTCTTCTCTTTCTCCTTCTTCTCCTCCTCCTCCTCCTCCTCCCTCCTTCTTTTCTTCTTCTTTCTCCTCCTCCTCCTCCTCCCTCTTCTCCTTCTCCTTCTCCTTCTCTCCCCCTCCTTCTCCTCTCCTCCTCCTCCTCCTCCCTCTTCTCCTCCTCCTCCTCCCTCTTCTCCTTCTCCTTCTCCTCCTCCTCCTCCTCCTCCTCCTCCTCCTCCTCCTCCCTCCTCTCCCCTCCTCCTCCTCTCCTCCCTCTTTTCCTCCTCTCCCTCCTCCTCCTCCTTCTTCTTCTCCCTTCTCCTCTTCCTCCTCCTCCTCCCAAACCCCTCTCTCTTCTAGCATTTGATGATGTCAACTAGTTGGATAATGAAACATCTTCATTGCAGAAGTGGTGCTTGCACGTGAGCAAACCGGTAGCAAAGGTAAGTGAAACCCACCACTGAGCAGGAGGGCCAGTATGGGTAGGGTTAGGTTAGGTTAGGTGGCTGCCCCGGGATAGGTGATGGGAGTTATAGTCTGGTACATCAGAGCGCCTGGTTTGAAAAGGCAGCTGGAATTACGCCAACTGTGGAGATGAAGCTCCTTAAATCAGGATAACCAGATTCAATTTGATCTACTCCTCATTGCTCTCCTTCTAAACTTGAGCTCCAAATTGTGAATGGGAGAGTGCTGCGAATAATAATAAAAAAAAATCACAGGTTTAAGTGAGCCTTGAGATATCTCAATTGGTTTATTTTGCCTTGTTTAATCAGTCAGTCAAACATTAAAAAGTGATGCCGTGATTTATTGCTTGCTGCCCCCTAGTGGTGGTGCAGAGGTTTATTTTTGCTGCCCCCTAGTGGATGTAATGGGGCGCAGTGGCTCAGGGGCTAAGACGCTGAGCTTGTTGATCGGAAGGTCGGCAGTTCAGTGGTTCGAATCCCTAGTGCTGCGTAACGGGGTGAGCTCCCGTTCCTTGTCCCAGCTTCTGCCAACCTAGCAGTTCGAAAGCAGGTAAAAAATGCAAGTAGAAAAATAGGGACCACCTTTGGTGGGAAGGTAACAGCGTTCCGTGCGCCTTTGGCGTTGAGTCATGCCAGCCACGTGACCACGGACACTTCTTCGGACAGCGCTGGCTCTTTGGCTTTGAAACGGAGATGAGCACCGCCCCCTAGAGTCGGGAACGACTAGCACATATTTGCGAGGGGAACCTTTACTTTTACCTTTAGTGGACGTAGTGCAGAATTACTACGAATTGCATTCTGGAAGTTTCCAAATATATATATATATATATTTAATTATGCTTGACTTGAAGTTTCATCTGTTCTTCTTTTCTCTTCTCAAAAATATGTTTGCGAGAAGCAGTTGCAATGTTCACACAACGAAGACCTGTAGATTCTAGACCGTTGTTTCTTAACCTCAGCGACTTTAAGATAGAAGGACTTCAACTCCCAGAATTCCCCAGCCAGCATGTTTTAAGATATGTGGGCTTCAACTCCCAGAATTCCTCAGTCAATTTGCTGGCTGAGTGAATTATGGGGATTGAAGTCCACGCATGCTGACTGGGGGAAATCTGGGAGTTTATTTATTTATTTATTTATTAAATTTATATCCCGCCTTTCTCCCCGAAGGGACTCAGGGCGGTGAACAGCCGAGAATTAAAATAACATGCAATATAAAAGTTAAAATAATTAAGAATAAATTAAATTAAATGGCCACCCCAATTTAAAACCCCTAGCAATACAATTAAAAAGTTGAAGTCCACATATCCTAAAGTTCCAAGGCTGAGAAACATCGATCAAGAAGTTCCATGTTTGTTTCCTTCTACACACAACACAACACAACACAACACACACACGCACACAATTTCACTTCTCATTCTGTTCTTTTTCCTTCTTTAGGTTTCCGTCAATGGGAGCCAGTTCATAGATTACCAACACCGTCTTCCAATGCATCAGGTCCAGACTTTGCAGATCAAAGGGGACGTCTCCTTGAGCTGCATCAGTTTTACAGGAGGATTCGTGAGTATTGCTATCAGCCTCTCTAACCTCCAGGTTAAATTTGCCAGCATGGATTTTGTGACTTCAGTTGCGGGAAAAAGACATTTCTGCACTGGTGCACTGATGATGTTACCTAGTAGGGTAATAAGATGTCTGCAAGAAAACCACCAAGCTCAGAAAGCACCAGGTAACCCACAGTCGTTGTCCTCCTCCTTTTCCTCCTCTTCTTCCTCTTCCTCCTCCTCACTTCCTTTTAGTACTGATGATGTTACCTAGTTGGGTAATGAAACATCTGCAGGAAAAACACCAAGCTCAGAGAGCACCAAGCAACCCATAATCCTCCTCCTCCTCCCCCCCAAACCCCACTCCCTTCTAGCACTGATGATGTTACCTAGTTGGGTCATGAAACATGTGCAGGAAAAACACTAAGTTCAGAGAGCACCAAGGACCCCACAGTTCAAATCTGAGCTGTAAATATTATCTTCTATCGGTAGAGATATCTCTGGGTGAATTCCGGGAGTTGAAGTCCACACATCATCAAGTTGATGAAGTTGGGGAACTCTTAAGGTTTCCGTTGGACCATCGTTTTCCACTTCGCAAAGCTCACAATCAAAACAGCGGCCCTTTCCCCCAATAAATCTTCTCTTTGGAAAGCAAGGGCTGCCTCCAAAAATTCTCTGCTTATCGATGAAAAGTCCTTCCTTAGTAGCTCAGGTTATCCAATCATGAATTGGGGTTTAATCCATGCTTGCTTCTGCTCCTTCTTGCCTGGAAGGATAAGTTATAAACTTTACGTTCTGAGCTAAGCTCCCTGAGAAAGCTTAAATCACACGCTCAGTCCCCAAAAAAACACCTCTTTTATTTAAACGGCTGTGAATTACGGTCATTCACAGCCCGTAATAATTCACAAACATTCTGTGAAGAGTCCGACAGATGTCTGTCACAGTCTTTCAAGGTAAGGCTGATGAGCACCCACCTTTATCTCCCTTGAAATGCTACCAGAGACCTAATTGCCAATTAGTTTTGCAAGGCCAAACGGAGCACAGAGTCAAACGGAGCCTCTCAAGAGTTTGAACAAACCAGAATGAACAAATTGCTTCCTGCAAGTCGGTTTGCTTTTTTTTTTATGTCTTATGGGAAGGGCCAATCAACTCCAAGCCTTACTCCCAGGTCGCCCTTTTTTCCCCCTTAATTGTTCTTGCCTTCTGGCAGTTCTGCGCATGCGCACACTGGCTCCCCATGTTCTTCTGCTTCGTTGATGTCAGATTCCGGAGGCTCCGGAGGCAGCACATAACTACCAGATGGCCCTGGCCCTCTCTCTGCCTCTGACGCAGAGCCCTCATCCGAGCCTTCCCCAGACTCCAGGACTGGCCCATGTTCCTCCCCAACCTCCTCACTGTCTGAATCTGCTGCCAGCTCTGCTGGCTGCTGGCAGACCACAACAGCCTTTTTATTATTAGTTCTTCTGGGTATGTGTGTGTGTATATCTTTATATATATTTTTATATATGTATTTTAGGTTCCACCCCCTTATGCACCTCCGCCGTACAATCCCATCCCGCCTATGAATGTAAGTAGAATTCCGGTGTTTAATTTACCTGTGTTCTGCTTGCAAAAAAGACAACGTACATTTTTCAGCCTTGATGATCAAAACAGGTAGTCCTCATTTAACATCCACTTGTTTGATGGCTGTTCAAAGTTACGACAGCGCCGGATGAGGAGATTCACCACAGGTCCTCATAGTTGCAACTATGCAACTATTGCAGTGTTCCTATGTTTACACCAGTGTTTCTCAACCTTGGCCGCTGGACGATGTGTGGACTTCAACTCCCAGAATTCTGGGAATTCTGGGAGTTGAAGTCCGCACATCGTCCAGCGGCCAAGGTTGAGAAACACTGGTTTACACGATCATGATTGGGGTGCTTGGCCACCAGCTCATCCTTATGAAGGCCACAGTGTCCCCACAGTCACATGATAACCAGTTGTGACTTTCACTGCTGGCTTCCGGCAAGCAGAGTCACTGGGGAAGCTGGCAGGAAATCGAAAAGGCATTCATGGGTTCGTTTGTGCTTAACGACAGCACGGGGTCCGCTTAACGTCAGCAAACAGAACTGCCACAACTACCGCTGTAAGCTGACACGGTTGCATGACACCACACTTTTAAGACTGTGTCGCTTAGTGACAGAGCTGATGATCTCAATGTACCGACATTAAGCAAAGCCTACCTTTAGCTATGTAATTGAGTATTTTAACACCTTTGCTTAAGCGTTTGGACTATCGTGAGTGGTTCCTTGATGGACCAGCCTCAACTAAACGAATGAACAGTTCTAGACAAGGAGAGAATATTCCTCTTTTGATGAGAAATAGGGCATCCTTGCTGGACATCCTTGCTGAGAATTGCTGAGTCTTTTAGACCCAAATCCTTAGGCGATAGTTAGATAGATAGATAGATAGATAGATAGATAGATAGATAGATAGATAGATAGATAGATAGATAGATAGATATAGAGATAGATAGAGATAGATGATAGATAGATAGATAGATAGATAGATAGATAGATAGATAGATAGATAGATGATAGATAGATAGATAGATAGATAGATAGATAGAGATAGATAGATGATAGATAGATAGATAGATAGATAGATAGATAGATAGATAGATAGATAGATAGATAGATATAAATAGATATAGTTTTAGATAGATAGTTAGATAGGGATAGATAGAGATAGTGATAGAGATAAATAGAGATAGATAGAGATAGATAGATAGACATAGATATAGATAGAGATAGATAGAGATAGATAGAGATAGATAGAGAGATAGATAGAGATAGATAGATATAGAGATAGATAGCTAGAGATAGCTAGAGATAGCTAGAGAGATAGAGAGATAGAGAGATAGAGATAGAGATAGATAGAAAGAAAGAAAGAAAGAAAGAAAGAAAGAAAGAAAGAAAGAAAGAAAGAAAGAAAGAAAGAAAGAATTAATTCTTTATTGGCCAAATGTGATTGGGCACATTTTGTCTTTGGTGCAATAAAATTCCTTATCCCACCAGGCTTGAAATTTTAGGCCTGGATAACCTTGAACTATGCCGTCTACATTCCGACCTAAGCTTAGTACACAAGATTATCTACCATAATGTCCTAGTCATAGCGTGACTAGTTTAACTTCAACCGCAATAACACGAGGGCTATCGATAAATACAAACTAAATGTAATCCGTTCTAATCTCGATTGTAGGAAATATGACTTCAGCAATAGAGTAGTAAATGTCTGGAATACTCGACCTGTTCCTGTTGTTAGTTTCTCTAACCCCCATACCTTTTACCTTAAAATGTCTACCGAGGACCTTTCACGTTTCTTAAGAGGTCCCTAAGGGGTCATGTATAAGCGCACCAGTGTGTCTTCTGTCCCTGTGCTACTGTCCCCATTTAGATGGATCGTTTGAGATGCAGTCATTGGTATACAGAGAGAAGAGAAGTGGGGAGAGCCTTGGGGGGGGGGCTGTGCTAATTGTACAGGTATCCAATGTGATTCTGCTTAGCTTCACCTGCTGCTTCCTGTCTGTTAGGAAGCTAGAAATCTGATCTAGATTGTCTACATCTCCATAACAAAGTGTTTTTTTTCCTTCCTTTCCTCAGAACATCGGTGGAATGACGGTTTGCAATCCGGTACGTCACCTTTTTCCTCTTTTTTTTAGGACATCCACGGAGTTGATCTTGATTCCCCTTTGCATTAACCCTTTGCAAGCCCCGTGCAGATTCCAGATAATTCTCTTTTTTTTTAAAAAAAAGTTTATTTATATATTTTCACATTACATACATAAGTAGGCAGTGATGGGATTCAAATAATTTAACAACCGGTTCTCTGCCCTAATGACTGGCTGGGAGGGCGTGGCCATGATGGGCGTGGCCAGGGGGTGTGACAGACAGCACTCGGCCTCCTCAACCCCCCCGGGAGCAAAAACGGGCTCCGGGGGGAGGGATGCGCCGCCCCCTGTGCCCCATTTTGGGCCTAGTAGGCCTCCCTGCACTTACCTGGGAGCCAAAATGGGACTCGTAGGGACTCCCGGAAGGGGTGGGGCAGGGAGGGGTGGGGCCAGCCAGCAATTTAACTACCAGTCCGCCTGAACTGGCCCGAACCGGCTGAATCCCACCACTGTCTGTAGGTATTTCCTCATTTTTCCAGTACTGTACAAATACAATTCTTGCTGCTGTCAAAACATGTAGTATCAAGGATAGGTTCCCTTGATCACACTTTTCAGGTATTATACCTCGTAAAAATATTTCTGGCTTATAATCTATAATCTATCATTCTGGATGATTCTTGAAGGAACATTCAAAGACATTCCTTGCAGTCAAAGTTCTCCCATCTACTCCAATGTCTAGTCCTGTGATGATGAACCTATGGCACGCGTGCCACAGGTGACATGCCCGAGCCATATCTGTGGGCACGCGAGCGTTGCCCTAGCTTAGCTCCAGAGTACATGCATATGCCAGCCAGCTGATTTTCGGGCCCTTTGGGCCCACTGAAAATCGGGAAACGGGCCATTTCTGGCCTCCGGGGGGTTGGGGAAGGCTGTTTTCGCCCTCCCCAGGCTCCTAAAAAGCCTCTGGAGCCTGGGGAGGGCAAAAAACAGGCCTACCAGGCCCACCGGCCCAACATGGGCCAAAAGTGGTGGGAGCGCGGGGGGGTTGCGCGTGCATGCATGGGGGGCGGGGTACATTGAATTATGAGTGTGGGCCCGCGCGCGCTCAACCGCCCGCACTCCTCCCCCCGCTTTTGGCACATGACGGCAAAAAGGTTAGCCATCACTGGTCTACTCAGTAGATAGGAGGACTTTGGTTGTATGGCGCGTCTTTGAACGTTCCTTCAAGAACCATTTGGGATCTAATTTCTCTTGGGAGATGGGATTGTTGGTCAAGAGATGATCAACGGTTGGATTTGATTGGCCCTTGCCTGGAAAAAAAAATGGTATAAGAACACGAGTGTTAAGCACAAGAACCAAAAAGAAGTTAGAAGGGCAGATCAGGTGGAATTCAAGGTGAGTCTAATGGAGATGGAAACAAACGAAAAACAGGTAATCAAGTCCAGGACTCAACTGAGGTCAGGATGATAACCTCCAACACCAAGCTTTGTGTTTGTGTGTGTGTGTGTGTGTGTTTCCTTTATCATGGACTTGCTGAGAACCTGGAAATCAAAAAGGGAAAGCTTTAGTACTCCAAAATGACCTTGAAGCCTCGTTTTTAGGTAGAGCCTCCCATGAGTGAAGCTTGGCTGATATTGACTTTATGGACATATCCATGTATTTTTCTTGGCTACAGTGCAAAGTGGGTCAACACTGCCCTCTTGTGGGTAGTTTTGAAATTGCTAGCCTAGCCTGGTAGTCTCCCATCTAATTTTTAACCCAGTCTGACCCTACTTAGCTTACCAAAATTGGCCAAGTTGAACTCGATGCTACTACTGTCCCTAAACAAAGGGAGAGGACAATGTCAGACAGTCCGAAAATGGAATGAATGGTGGATCGGATTAGATCCTGGGTGAGGAGGCAGAGACCAAGCATTTCTGTACCGTTGCCAAGGCAATTACTGAACTTGGCCGCAAAGTATGGTCAAAGAAGTCAAGATTTTTAAAAACCATTCTTTAAGATCAACCCATCAGCAGGATTCAAACTCGCCTCCTAGGAACGTTTCTCTTTTTCTTAGTTCTTCTCTTTACTCTTTTTTCATCCTGATCTTTTTCTTTTCTTTTTTAATTTTAGGCCACCCCGTTTAACGCACCTCTTTCGGGACGTTTCTTTCCCTTCTCCAAGATCACAATTATGGGGAGCATCCCTTATTCAGCGGACAGGTATGTCAACCTAAGAACTGGGGGAAAACACAACAACCCCCCCCCCCAATACAGGTAGTCCTCGACTTACAACAGTTCGTTTAGTGACATTTCAAAGTTACAACGGCACTGAAAAAAAGTGAGTTACATAAGACGCTCCGGAGTATAAGACACACCTTAGTTTTTGGGGAGGAAAATAAGAAAAAAAAAATCTGCCTCTGCCTATCAGCATCCGTTGGTATCCATCTGGCTAGCGTCCTGTCAGTGTGTGGGAGAGTTGAGGGCTGTTTGGAAACTGAAACAGTATTTGCTGTGTGAGCAACAAGGAAGAAGACAGCAAGGAGCCTGGGCGTGGCTTAGGTCAACTGTTCTAAAAGCTGCATGCTGTACTGATCTCTGAAACTAAAACTGAAACTCCTCTCCTCTGCTTGTGTTTTGCTTGGGTTGGAAAACCTGCTTTTGGTATTGTATATTTACTGTATATTATATATAAAGAGAAGTTATTGTATGTTTTGGTCTCAAGTCCCCTAATCATCCTGGTTGCTCTTCTCTGCATCCTTTCTAGAGTCTCAACATCTGTTTTATAGTGTGGTGACCAACACTGGATGCAGTACTCTAGATGTAGTCTTACTAGGGCTTTGTAGAGTGGCATTAGGGTTGTCCCTGGAAGTAACCAACGTGCTTTCCTCGGATCCAGGTTTCACGTGGACCTGAAAAACATCTTGATGGGCAACATCGCCCTGCATGTCAACCCCCGGTTCAGAGAGGGGGCACTGGTCCGGAATTCGTTCATCAATGGTGCTTGGGGAAACGAAGAGAGAAATATTGCCTTCCTGCCCTTCTGTCCCGGGCAGGCCTTCCAGGTAAGAAGAGCATCCCTGGGATAAGAATTTGCTTCATGGCATTTCAGAGTTGGCCACAAAAACCCGTATCAGGGTTACTTTCAAGTAGCAGGCGAGAAAACAGGAGACAGTGAGTTCTAGTCCCACCTTAGGCATGAAAGCTGTCCAGGTGACTTTGGGCCAATCACCAGGAGACAATGAGTTCTAGTCCAGCCTTAGGCATGAAAGCTGTTTGGGTAACTTTGGGCCAATCACCAGGAGACCGGGAGTTCTAGTCCCGCTTTAGGAACAAAAGCAGACTGGGTAACTTTGGGCCAATCACCAGGAGACGGTGAGTTCTAGTCCCGCCTTAGGCATGAAAACCGGCTGAGTGACTTTGGGCCAATCACCAGGAGACGGTCAGTTCTAGTCCAGCCTTAGGCATGAAAGTTGGCTGGGTGACTTTGGGCCAATCACCAGGAGACGGTGAGTTCTAGTCCAGCCTTAGGCATGAAAGCTGTCCAGGTGACTTTGGGCCAATCACCAGGAGACTGGGAGTTCTAGTCCCGCCTTAGGAATGAAAGCAGGCTGGGTAACTTTGGGCCAATCACCAGGTGACGGTGAGTTCTAGTCCTGCCTTAGGCATGAAAGCCAACTGGGTGACTTTGGACCAATCACCAGGAGACAGTGAGTTCTAGTCCCGCCTTAGGCATGAAAACCGGCTGAGTGATTTTGGGCAAATTCTTTTCTCTCAGCCCAACCCACCTCACAGGATTGTTGTTGTGGGGCAAATAAGAGGAGGAGTCTCCATGCCTTTTTCTTTGGTGTACAGTTAAGTCTTCAACAAACAACCGTCGTGGATCCTCCCCCTTATGGTCATAAGTTGTGCTGGTCGTAAAGCGGCTCACCCACATGAGTCGACCTGATTTTTCAACCTTTTTTGCAGCGGTCATTATGCAAAGGGTACGGTCGTTAAATGAACCCACTGTTCTCTAGGAGTCAGTTTTGCCGAAAACCGGAAATAAATGCTATTTTTTGGCAAAATAAAATAAAAATAAAAATTTCAAATAAGTCAATATGGTAGCTGGGAGCGTGTTGTTGAAGCCCCTCCTCATTTTACCCATAATGCACTGGTGTCTTTTTTAAAGGGGGTGGGACTTGAACAGCTGCTCCCTTGAGTTTTTCCCACAATATTCCTGACTGATCCCCCCCCTACTTTTCTCGCAAAGGAGTGGATTTTTAAATAATCAGGATAAAAACCAGGGTGGATTTGATTTAAATCGAGTTGATTTAAATCACAATTTAAATCATGATTTAAATCACTAGTAAAAAGGCTTGATTTAAATCAACTCGATTTAAATCATAATTTTTAAAGAGCAACTGTCATCTCTGCTACTCCTTTGACCCGCTGTTGACTCACCGATAGTCCCAGTGTTGCCGAATATACAGCCTCCTGCTACATAACTAAGCTCCATTTCATGCTGAATAAACTAAATTGTTTATGTATCTTAAATAGAAAACTATCTTACGATAGATTTTTACCCCAAAAGTTTTTTATTAAAATAAATTCAATAAAAATAAAAAAAAATCCGATTTAAATAAAAAAAATCCGATTTAAATAAAAAAAATCTGATTTTTGTGATTTTTTTTTAAAAAAATCATTGATTTTTATCCACCCTGATAAAAACCTCTCCTGCTTCCTTTGACCATTAGCTGGAGATCACCTATCTACAGAACTGCTACCAGATGTTGGTGAACGGGCAGCTGAAATTCGAATACTGCCATCGGATCCCTCCCTCTCAAGTGGACCAACTGGAAATAGCCGGAGACGTGATTCTTTCCTGCGTCCAGTATTGAATGAATGAAGGCCTCCCATTTCTGCCTTGATGGACGGAGGAGAAGGGCTTATGGGTTGTAGCTCCCATATCCCCCTCTAGACCAATGAACCCATCCAAGTTTCTGTCACACATGCTTTCCCCTGCAAAATAAAATCGATCGCATCGATTACAGATTCTTCACAAGAAACCTGGAATTTGTGGTCCTCAAAGAGTGATGTGGGTTGACCCAAAAGTCCTTTTTTTTCCCCAAAAGGCGACTGGACTTTCTGTTGTTGTTGTTTTTTTTCTTTGAAGACGTTTCGCTTCTCCTCCAAGAAGCTTCTTCAGCTCTGGGATGGATGGGTGGGGGAATGGAAGGAAGCGAAATGTCTTCAAAGAAAAACCAGGAAGTCCAGTTGCCTCTTGAAAAGGCACTTTTGGGATAACAATTACCTGAGAATCTCCCTAGACACTTACTAAGGACGAAGGTATCTTGTCTTTTGATGTACACTGAGAGCGTATGCACCGGAGACAAATTCTTTGTGTGTCCAATCACACTTGGCCATTAAAGAATTCTATTCTATTCTATTCTATTCTATTCTATTCTATTCTATTCTATTCTATTCTATTCTATTCTATTCTATTCTATTCTATTCTATTCTATTCTATTCCATTCCATTCCATTCCATTCCATTCCATTCTATTCTTTATTCTATTCTATTCTTTTTGTTTTCTTATTCTTATTCTATTTTATTCTTTTTATTGTTTTATTCTTATTCTATTCTATTCTATTCTATTCATTCTATATTATCTATATTCTATTCTCTATTTTCTATATTCTGCTCTATTCTATTCTATTCTTTCTCTATTTTCTATATTATATTCTCTATTTTCTATATTCTACTCTATTTTCTATTTTCTACATTCTATATTCTATTTTCTGTTATTCTATTCTATTCTATTCTATTCTATTCTATTCTATTCTATTCTATTCTATTCTATTCTATGCAATCTTACTACAGAAATAGTAATTTCTATCTTTACTTCCTTATTTCTCACTTCTGTCATTTGATTGCATCTTGTTCAATTACGCAAAGAGGAGCATAATTTAGCATCTCTATGAAAATAAATTCCAAGGAACGCCAACAGATTCTGGATTCCTTCTGTGATATTCACTGTTTCGGTCGAAGTTTTTTTTTTTTCCCAAACGGGCATAATGAAAAGACCAATGAAGCGACAGAAGGGTAAACAACGAACAAGTAGTGGATTATCAGTTGTTACCCAGCTCTCTGGAGAAGACTGTGATGTTGGGAATGATGGAAGGGAAGCGAAGAGGGTGACCTGGTGACGCAGCGGTTAGAATGCAGCATTGCAGGCTAACTCTGCTCATTGCCAGCAGTTCGATCCTGACCAGCTCAAGGTTGACTCAGCCTTCCGTCCTTCTAAGGTGGATAAAATGAGGACCCAGATTGTTGAGGGAAATAGGCTGACTCTGTAAACCGCTTAGAGAGGGCTGTAAAGCATTATGAAGCGGTATATAAGTACTAAGTGCTATGGCTAAGGTTGAGGGATACCATTGGAAGAACTGAAGAATCCAATTAGATCATTCCTGCAGAATATCTATTCATCTAATCATCACTCAAGAGTTAACATAATGGCATATAATCAATCACATCCAATTTGGTAATCTCTTCTGGGCTTGAGATGAAAAAGAATGAAATATTGACTTTGGATTTTGCCGATTAGATAAATCTTTTGCTATAGAAATAACTAGTCCATATTAGTATGTAAAAGTTAAGACATTGAGGCTGTAATGTTATTATCTTATTTTATTGCACTAAAGAGTTGTAAGTACTTTTTTTTGTTCTCCCCCACTTTTACCCTTCACTTCTTTCTCTTGCTTTTTCCCTCCCCCATTTCCCACTATTTTCATTTTCTTTTGTATTTCATATCTTGAAAAAAAAATTAATGTATTAAAAATCAATCAATCAATCAATCAATGCTTCTTGTTGCCACCCATCGTAGATCAACAAGAGGGCGAACCAAAACCTTCAAACAGGGCTTGTGAATTCTGTTTTTATGAATCAGCAGTGCAGATTTTCAAAATTCATTCTACTGCACTGCGACCCCAAGTTTAAAGAGTGAAAGCAGCAACAGAGGCACCGTGTGAAGATCTGAAGGGACAGATCCCCTTTGGAGAATGGGAGGAGGTCTATCTACGAACTCATCAAGAATTGATGCCAACTTGACTCAAACAATACCAACTACTACACCACCTCTTCACAAACATTGGGCTTGCTGTGTTTTACCCAGATCTACAGATTACAACTCCTTTGATTCACACCCCGTCCCATGAATTAAATCAATAATTATTTCACTTTTCTTAGTCCTGTTCAAATCATACATTCCCTCCAAATGAATAATCTACATGTATCAATGAAGGCAGTTTAGCATCTTCGGACAAACTTTCATGAGTCCAAAGTGATGCTACATTTACACGCTCAGGAAGTGCCTCCAATCTTGTGCAACCAAGTCTACATTTTTAAAGATATGAGCCAGGAGAAGATATGCTCTCTTGAAATGGCACCGTCCCTTTCTCTCCAAAACAGTGAAAGCAGTTTTATTTTGTTTCGTTCAGCCTTTACTACAGTTTAAGGGCTGGAGCCAGATTGTAAAAGGACGTACTGTGATTTAAGTATCAAACAGGCAGCAAAAATTTCTTTACACTGGACAAGAATTTCGGTCTCCTTCAGTGTTCTGTTGAGCTCTACAAGTAGGGTCCCATCCAACCTTACTCTCTTGAACAGCAGTGTGCAGGAAGCAATCCGTCCATCTCTTAAGTGTGCACCGAAGGCACCTCTATCGGGATATCTGGTAACAAACTGCAGCTGTTAATAATGTCTATTTTGTCTGCCACGGCCCGCAGATCGTCCAGAACCAGCCGTATGTTGTGGGAAGCGTTGATGATGCCGTTTTGGGAATTGCTCAGCTGTCCAGTAATGGCTCCAATCTCCTTGATGGCAGTTTGGTAAACCTGTTTGACGGTGTTGTGGATGTCGTAGTATAAACGGGCGTTACTCTCCACCAGCTTCTGCTGCAAGAGGGAGCTATATCGGCCCCGGTGTTTGATGTGAAGGGCAGGCTTCTCTTCGACCGCCGTGGGGGACGCCGAATCTTCGTTCCTGTAAACGATCAGGGGTGGTAAATCCGGCGTGATCAATGTCGCCTCGGTTTTCGATCCAGCGAGATTTCCGGCTTCGTCTTCCTCGTCTGTCTCAGAGGCTTCCCCAGTGACTTGAACTCCAGAAGGGTTTCCAAAGGCAGGCCGAGTGGAGGCCGAACAATTGATTTCTTCCTCCGAGTCGGTCTCGGAGGCTTCACCCTGGATGACGGTTTTGTACCTTGGAGAGATCATTTCTGGATCACCTTAAAAGAGGAGAGGAAGCACATGTGAGAATCGGAGAGGCAGGCCTCAAGAAGGAATCTTTCTGTTATGGAATACGAGCCACTGTGTTATGACTCTGGGTGTGGCACAAAGGCAACACAGCCAGAGAATAAGTATGAGTCCCTTTATTAGCTCCAACTTTGCTCCCCCCCTCCAACATTCCTTTGACTCTCCGGTCTGGAGAAAAACTCTCCCACAAATGTGTAATGTTTAATTTGATTTATATGCCACCCTTTTCCGGAGACTCAGGGCGGCTTACAGTGCATTTAAGCAATAGCCTTCATCCTTTTGTATATTTATACAAAGTCAGCTTATTGCCCCCACAAACTGGGTCCTCAATTTACCTACCTTAGAAAGGATGGAAGGCTGAGTCAACCTTGAGCCTGGCGAGATTCGAACTTACTTTAATTGCAGACAGCTGGTGTTAAATTACAGTGCTTAGTCTGCAGAGCTATCCAGGCTCCTTGCCTAACAACTTGTATCATTTCACACGTGTTCCTTTACTCCAGGGTTGGGTATGGAGAACATTGGAGGAATATTTGTGGTGTTGATCTGTGGACTCATCATCGCCGTCTTTGTGGCTGTCATGGAATTTGTGTGGGCCACGCGGCGCTCGGCGGAGCACGAAGAGGTGAGTGAAACTGGGGACGGTGGCAGTGAGAGGGGAGAGAATGGAGGGAAGCCAAGGCTAGGAAAATGAATGAAGCCTTACGTGCTTATTATCTATCTGTCTGTCTGTCTATCTATCTATCTATCTATCATCTATCTATTTATCTATCTATCTATCTATCTATCATCTATCTATCTATCTATCTATCTATCTATCTTTCTATCTCTTTCTATCTATCTATATCTATCTATCTATCTATTTATCTATCTATCTATTTATCTATCTATCTGTCATCTATCTATCATCTATCTATCTATCTATCTATCTATCTATCTATCTATCTATCTATCCATCCG